ACGAACATCGACCGTGACGTCAGCCTCTTCTGCATCCACACCAACAACAACAANCAATTTTCTCAACAACAATACCATCATCGTCAGAAACTACGTCTACAGCAACCACAGAAACATCGACCGTGACGTCAGCCTCTTCTGCATCCACACCAACAACAACAACAATTTTCTCAACAACAATACCATCATCGTCAGAAACTACGTCTACAGCAACCACAGAAACATCGACCGTGACGTCAGCCTCTTCTGCATCCACACCAACAACAACAACAATTTTCTCAACAACAATACCATCATCGTCAGAAACTACGTCTACAGCAACCACTGAAACCTCGACCGTGACGTCAGCCTCTTCTGCTTCAACACCAACAACAACAAAAATTTTCTCAACAACAATACCATCATCGTCAGAAACTACGTCTACAGCAACCACTGAAACCTCGACCGTGACGTCAGCCTCTTCTGCATCCACACCAACAACAACAACAATTTTCTCAACAACAATACCATCATCGTCAGAAACTACGTCTACAGCAACCACTGAAACCTCGACCGTGACTGCTTCCACACTAACAACAACAACAATTTTCTCAACAACAACACCATCATCGTCAGAAACTACGTCTACAGCAACCACTGAAACATCGACCGTGACGTCAGCCTCTTCTGCTTCCACAACAACAACAATTTTCTCATCAACAACAAAACCATTCTCGCCATAATCCTCTGTAACTACGTCAATAGCAACAACAACATCTGAAACATCGACCGTGTGTTCAGCATCTTCTACAACTTCCACATCCACTACCACCCCATATTAAAATTATCCACTACCGGTCACCCATTCACCTTTTTCTATGTTAACTGCTTTGATATTATTATTCAGACTAGATGTGTTGTTACTTGTTTTGCCATTTTATGTAGAGTGTTTTTTATTACGTTTGGACGCCAGTTCGCTATCGTGTTATTGCATTTGACACCGTCTCTACATAGATACAGGGAACGAGCCGATCACTTATTTGATGCTCTGATTAAACTCGATTATTGTTAGATCAGATGCAAAGTGGTGACGAATTAAATTTGTTTGTTTTTAGGTTAGTTACGATTATTAGAAATATTATGTTAAAATAAATTAAACACAAGTTCACCCATTTAGGTTTGATTGTTCTTTGTTCTTAGTTAAACAATAAAACGTGAAACGTTAGACTTCAGCTGCAAGATGAATGAATCGAGTGAATAGAACCAATAGACCCAATAGACTGGATAGACCCAATAGAACCCCTCCTATAGAACCAATAGACCTCTGTCTTATAGAACCAATAGACCTCACTTTCACTCTGTTGTTTGACGCTGCATCTCCTTATATAGGAGTGAGTGTTTAGGCATTGGCATCTTAATAGTTGTACATTGGTCTAATTGCCTGTACATTCGTGGAAAATTATTTGCATTCCATTAGTGATGGATTACTACTGTCAATTTCGTTTTTTTCTTGTTTGTTGGGTATTATTTTGTATGTGTCTTTGTCTGTGTATGTGTCTGTGTGCATTGGCGTCTTATTTGCACGCCAGTCGCGATGAATTACAGTTCATAATCAGATTGTGTGTGTCTGCGTGTTTCTATGTGTGTTAGTCTTGGTATGCGTGTGTGTGTGTGTGTGTGTGTGTGTGTGTGTTTATTGAATGACATGATAATATTTTTCCTTTTTGGTCTCTAGCTTTTTTAGACCATAAGAATTTTTAAATTGAAATAAATTTTAAAGTTATTGTATATTTCAAAGTAATTTCAATCAATGCAAATCGCATTAACATCCTCCCGGATAACATTAACAGCCTTCCTTACATCAACATTGCTGACTCTGTATTTACTGTCATTCCTTCATTCTTAAAATTGCATCAACAAATTTGTAGCTTTACTCCTCTGTTTGAAACCATTCATTATTTTCGTCTTATTTATTTTTGTTTTTAAGTTAACTCATTGCAACTTTTTTTTGTATATTATTTTTTTTCACTTAATCAATGTTTAGGTACTTGATTTTAGTTTAGGAACTTTCGAATCTTGAATCAGATAAGACTGATTAATTTAGACTAAACTTCCGACCAACTTATTTACTAATTGTTAATTTATTTATTCATAGAATAATTAATTTTTAGATTTATTTAAAAAATGCTTCATAACGAAAACTTCTAAATAAATAATATATGATGTTTTAGAATTTATTAATTCATTAAATAGTTTTATTAATATTTTTATTTTTAAAGTAGAATGGTCAGTTTTAATAAAAATTACAATGTAGTTTTATACCGATATAATTGGCTAGGATTGTTTGTGAATAAAATAAAACTAAAAAGTACTGAAATTTTTAAAAAAACCTATTTATTAAAAAATGTTTTCATTTAGAAAATAAAAACATGTATGAAAACCAAATATGTAACAATATCGCAAAGTTGAATAGATCTGCTTGCGATGTATGGAAGAAACAACTAAGATCCGGGCAAAAAATTCTGTGAAACTTTAGTATAAAATTTAAACACATTCTTCGTCTGACAATATGTTGAACTCTCTTGTTAAAATTCACACAAAACGAGTGCCATTTCACACTAAAAACAAATAAATAAAAACGATCCTTGTATAAAAATGTATTAGTTTGTCTCTATTTTGCTTCAGTAAACTTGACAAATAATATTCATATACTTATGGCATATAGTCATGTACGAATTACTAATACAGACAACTGAATCATAAAATTAAGGTAAAATTTATCAGTAAATGATATAAAAAGAGAGTTTAAATAAATATATAAACTAGAACAATGTACTAATTAATTTTAGTATGTGACTAATTTAATTTTGGAACAAAATTCTGAAGAATCTTAGAGTAGGATAATGATTATCAGTAGTAAATTAACTAAGACATAGTATTCTAATTTTGCTACTGACTAACTTAAATTTCAATATTAAAGATAAAAATGATTAAATTTATCAAATCATTATCAAATGATATCATTCAAGTAGCTATCATCAACATCATCATGCAAATGTCTCAGCGTCAAAAAATTGCAATTAGCTCTGTTATTACGGGACAGAGTGAACATATGATAACATTTACGTTAGCATGATCAATAAAAATATGAAGGTAAGTGTGTGAACGAGACCATTTTGAGTGGGTATGGCTGATGTGGACTTCGCGGGATCCAGCATTTTGTAGGTGTAGAGTTCATGCTCGTATAAGAGGGCTCCTAGTGTCCAGTCTGACGTAGTTCGTTAAACACGTGCATTTTTTAAAAACAACATTTGAAAAATTATGTGCATTTTTATTATTTAGAGAAATATTTTAATAATTAAGCAAAGTTAAATCTACCATATTAAACACACAACGTTTGATAGTGTTTGAAATTAAATAAAGATTAGATAAACGTGTCCCAGCCCGACTGTACCTAATAATTATAGTTACGTTATTAATAATTATAAGCGTTAACCTATCTCTTTCTCAATTTTGATCAGCTTTGTATCCATCGGGAATTTGAAAGCTTTGTTGAACAATTTAGTGAAGTACATTCCCAGAAGACAGGGCGAGGTTAGGTATTTATGATCGGGCGAGGGATACTTTAACTTTACTTCTTCGACATCCTTAACGATTTAATTTTTTAGTTCAATCTCTTCCTAAATAATATATAGACAAAAATATTTGTATTAATAAGTTAATAAATATTTGTATAAAAAAGGCGTTGAAAACTGTGTTAAACAATTTCAAAACTCACCATGGCACAAAATTGCCTGACAATTTTGTCAGCTTTATCGAGGTCGAAATGATTGCCGACAGACAACAAGTCAAACCTCTCGTACGTGTACCTGAAAGCTCCGACGCCATAGAAATCCATGCTGGCTGGTAGAGACGGCTGATACACGCTTCCTATAAAATTATTAAAACTGACAAATTTTTATTATTAATAATAACTGTTATTATATTAAATTATTGTACTATTGAATTTAGTAATTGAAATATAACAGTGTCAGGCACACCACTCGTTAAAACATTTTGAATTTTAAAACTAACAAATAATTTCATTTTGCTTTTTCGCAAAAGCGTTTGTTAAGACAGCTGCAACAACATTTTTGGCATGCAGCATGTTTCTTTACGACCGTATTGCGCGTCATCCAGTCAGAAGTACGTCTTTTATGAATGCAATTGAAACAGGTGCTAGATGTATTTGAACTAAATCAGTGTGCAGTTCTCTTCTAACCACTTTGTAAGAGGTGGCATTTTATCATTAGAAGTCTTGCAATTCAAACATATTTGATTCTTGGAAACACTTTCGTCAACAGAATCAGTGTAGGAAAAGTTTTTTCCAATTTTAACATTTTATGACTGACGCACTGAAGGTTTTGTCTTTGAAGTTGTCAGCTGTGAGTCAACTTGACTGACTAAATAATTATGATGCCAGCAAAAAAAAATATAACAATTTTAAAAATTAAATAAAATTAAAAGCGAGGTAAGAAAAAAAACCAGTTGAAGGCAAGCAATTGTACATTTATCGGCAAAACAGAATAAACAACAGAATTGCACTCATCATCAGATCTAAAACAAACCGATGCTACAGGGCTTAGGTGAGCACCTCCAGTCACGATCCTGATACGTATATACGAATAGGTCGAGTAATTTTTCACAAGAACCAGCATCACCCGAGCCAACGAAATGAACATCGTTAACATCAATTTTGATTGTCACATTGAAATCTAAGAAATGTGGCCAAATAAATTCTTAAGCAATTATATGTAGTGAAACGAATGAATGAGACATTTTTCAACGAACCTCTGATGTAACACGGGTTGGAACATTCGTTGGTTTTGTTTTGATCGCACGTCTCTTTTGACTCCTTGATGTGCTCGTTCACCCAGCGTTCTGCATACTCCTGTCCGTAATGTAAGAAGCTGTGAACGTACAATCGGTAAGTGATGCCTGCGTTGATGTCAGTGATAGCAATTAAATGAGCGATTCTCAGTATAAATACTAATATAAGTGTGTCCTTCCCAATAGTACAGATGAGGCTTTATGTCAATTATTAACCATAAAATAAATCCAGCAATTATAATAATAATTACCAATATAATTAATTATATTATTTAAAAAAATATCATGAATTGCAATTGTTCAGTAATAGAATCATTTCTCAGTTCACTCCAGAAAGTGATTATTATTCTACAAAGACTCCGACATTTTAGACTTCCAGTAAGTTATTTATTTGACAACCCTTCCTGCAAATACTATACATCAGTTCTTCCTATATCATCTTCCAGGTTTTCCTGCCGCCATTCAAGTTGGAAAGCTCTTTAACCCTGCCGTTGACATCTGAACTTTCTGTTAAGGAATTGGTTTCCATCCATCTTACGATCAGACCTGTCCATTGGATTCTTTTTTTGTTGGCGGTGCCATATATTGTCAGTTTGTATGCTTTTTGTTTGATCTCCTGGTTTTTCACATGGTTTGAGTATCTGATTTCAATTCCATTATTCTACCAGTCCACTTGCTTTACGCTGCGTTTAGTTCTTTCAAAACTGCTTTTGTAACTTCTCAACTCTCACATTCACAGGATAGCGTATGTATGACGAGAAGAGTTAAAATCTCCCAAATTCTATTATGTTTTTGTTATTTCTTTAAAATATTTCACCAATCAATTTTATTACATGTTAATTTTGCTTGTTCGATTATTCTATCGATTTTTTCCCGAACTGTTACGGAAATATTAAATTTTATTTCTCGTAAATATTCTGTTAAATTTCACTTCTTTTTAAAACTTGCAAAACATTTTGCCGATGTTACATCAGTTTTTGTTTTATGTAATAAAAATTGCAGTTATAATAATAATTAACCTATCATTTTGATGATTCTCAATTGAAACCCTGAAAACTATGTAAGTACAGCACTTCAATTTGAATAAATTAAAAAAAATTGAAAAGGCACTCAAGACTGGGTAAATAGCATGCTGTATGAAAATAAAATATTCCAAAACACGAAACAAGCGTTTAATCAAGTGTCTGCCAAAGCTGTGCTGTCGCCGGAACATCAACTTCAATCAATTTTGTGTTCTTAGTTAAAGAAGAAACGACGCCAACCGTCTTACCTCCGTCTCTTCAGGCTCACTTGAAAAGTCTCCTAACTTCAATTAATAATGAATCTAGATCAATCATCCAATGCATGCAGCCTTTATAAAATGATAATTTATTTGTTAGTTTTGTGATCACTGCTTGAAAACAATGTGCGCGCGGTTTCCTACCTTAGTCTTGGCACCAATCTGAGTATTGTTTACGTTAAGCTACGACTACACATGGCAAATGAGTTTAGTTGAATATTAACACGCATTATTATCAAATGTTTATAATACGAAAATGTAACCAGCAACCAGCAACATTGATTGGAAACATTCCTTCAAGGATGTCGCCATCAGGGATGAAAGCGATTTGCGCTGAGGCCCCTCCCATCTCTATGATGCCATGGGTCTTGAGGACTTTCACGTCTGACGTTTTTCATTTCAACAAATTACAACGTATGAGTGTATATGCATGCATACATTCATAAATAAAAGGATTATTGAATTGAATTGAATTGAATTCATTATTTATTGCTGGTTTAGACAGGCAAAAATATAAATGTTGTCCGTATGTTTTTAAGTTTCGATCATCTTACATGTTACAGAAAGTAATACATACCTTTTTCGAAAAAAATCTTTTTGTTGTAGTTGACCGATAGCCAAGCAAAGGCGCCTTCCTCTTCACCTTTAAATATAATTGCTTCACTATGACCAATGCAATTTGGAATAAGAAATATAAAATCTAATATAAAAATCAAATATTATACAAGAAATATGAAATCTAGCTTATTTTTATCGATGATTTTATTAATTGGATGGTGCAATGATAGAGTGCTTGGCATTGGTATTGAAGTGACCGGATTGAAGAGGCCCAACCACGTGCGATGCTTGTGTGGCGTTGTTCCACGTGTGTTTATAGGAACTGTGTGTTTGTTGCCGATGCAAGTGAGAATTTTTGATGAGAGATTCCTAATAATAATAGTAATGATAATAAAAATAATAATATATTGGTATAATTTACATTTTTTTATAATTTAATACAATTTAATGTTATTGTTCTACATATGCTACCATAAAAACACATAATTTTTTGAGAAACTATAATTTTTTGATGGTAAGAGACGAATTCATCGCATTTTTTATTCAAAGTAAATAATTATTTTATCCCCTTGTTTTACACTAACCTGATAATATCCTGACGTTTCTCTCCTTGTGCACAAATGGACTAAATGATTTGTTGGCCAGAATGTTGCTGATCATTTTTATGTGTCTGTTGGCCTTCTCTTCCAACAAGAATCTCATGCCTATTCGTTTCATAATTTAACTTTTTACAACCCAATATAAACCACACATTAACCAAACAGGTTGAATAACTCATCAAAATTATTTTTTTGGATTATTTTTATTAAAAAAACGAACGACAGATGAGAGGTAGAAAATCTAACCAACCGGCTGTTGACATGAAATAGAGATTTGTGACGTTGTGTTGTTTCTGTGGAATTGTACGCTTGCCTAGGTCAATGAACGGTCGCAAGTAGCCACTCAACTTCTCCACGTCGCTCTCCACAAGCGAGACACCACCTTCGATTTTTTTATTTTGGATTACTTGAAACGTTGGCAGGGGTTCCTTTTTTGATAAGTAATCAGTTCTCCACCTGTAGACGTAGAGTCTGCTGCCGCTACTGCCAGCGTCGACGACAGCGCCGTACATGTACTCGTGCTTCAAATAATCCCCGTCTACTGATCTCTTCTGCCTCTCCGATCTATGAATGTTCCCCGGGCTATTCGTTCCATCATTATCTTCCCGATCCCTTATATCCTGCTCCATCTGCATCGATCCGAATGGCTTTACACGGAATGTAAAAAGGAAGAAAATAACAGAAATAAGTTTTACCGCTGTTGGAGTCATGTCTGTGTGAGCTGCAGAGATGATAATGTTGCAAATAGTAATTCTTGATTGTTTTGCGAGAAAATTTAATTAAAGAAACGTTATAAAACTCTGTTAAAGTGCAAACATTTGAAATCTTCTGTCACCGTTATATAGGTACGCACGCACTTGTGGCGATGTTTGTGAATATTTATCAATCAATACGACAGTATAAACTTCAAGTACATTGAAGTACATTCTAAGATAAACATACCTATATATATATATATATATATATATATATATATATATATATATATATATATATATTATACATATTGTGTGTGGCGTGTGTGTGTGTGTGTGGTGTGTGTGTGTGGCGCGTGTATGTGTGAGTGTGCGTGTGTGTGTCTGTATGTGTTTCTGACATAGAAATAGAAATATACACATTGTGAAGGCTATTTGTTGTGGACTGTTTTTTTTTCATGGCCAGTTGTTTGTTTGTTGCGTTTCAATTGTGTTATAGTGTATTCATTTAGTTTTCATCTGATGATTTAATTTTTTTTCTCTTCACCAATTTGTTAGTTGTCTTTCATTTTATTTTCTTAATTTATTGGTATTGTTTGTTGCTTTCGTTGTTGTTCTGGAAATGTTTGTTTATATTTCTTAAAATTTTTAGACATGAAGTCGGCGTCAATAAGTGTAATTGGATATTTATTATTGACGGGTAACTCCAAATAAAGTAGCGCAACCTACCAGCCATCACCAGAACAATCCCCAACAATCCATTAATGTGGGGGGGGAGACAGTGTCACTGATGGCCCGCAGTTTTAAACATGCTTGTTATATTCAACCATCATCTAGAAACAAATTTTAAAATTATTGATTAAACCTTTGTCGTCGTTCGTTTCATCAGTGACAGAATTCCAACTGGTATATTTTATTCGCTTGGTGCTTTGCAGCGATATTATTTTTAATGTTTTCTTATTTTTTTTTCTTTACAACTGTACTAGATTTATGATTCATAAGAATGGTGTTCAAAGTGATTTTTGCAAAAATTGGCTTGTCAATATTTGAAACCAAATTAATAAGAAAAATAAACAATTTTCAAATTTTATGAATCTGGTTTAGATAGTTTTGTTGAAGATAATTTTAACATGTTCCATAGAATGACACAGTGAAACCAGCTGCGTCGGATATGATTGGACAACACCAGCGCTAAGACTTATCTCGAATTTGACTTACATACGTAAGTGTGGCAAACGTTTCAATCAGTCAGTCATAACGAATGGATGAGCTAAACGAGACAACAATGGAATTAGTTCAGTCGGCAGAAGTGTCATGTCTTAATCTGATGTTACGGGAGGGCACGGTTTAAATACTGTCTAATAATATTTTTAGGTATAAATATAATAGCATATATGCAGCTCCGCTTTTTACAGGGCTTTTTTAAGAGAATAAAAAAAACTTCATAGGCCAGGCCACATCACATAAGTTCTAAAACCAAGTTTCCTTTTTTATATAATAGTTTTGTGCTTAGCAGAGATGAGTCACAGATAATATATATCTAAATATCAGACAGTTGGTACGAGTTTGTATTTTTATTACGTTAATATTTATTATTTATCTATTTATTGACAAACTGACCAGAGAGCCATGAATATTATCTTAATATTATAATGAGGTCCAGTGCCCATTCAGTCAGCCACACCTTCAATTGGTGGGAGGAAATGCCAATCATTCATTCGTGCAATTTCATTGGTTCGCGGACAGGCTGGGCGCATGCCTTATCATGAATTTGTTCTTTCTGTTTGAAACAAAACCATTTGTTGTTGATGATAAGTGGTATAAATTTTTCGTCCGGTTGATTTGGTGAGAAAAATATTTATTGGACTGGATGAAAGTAAAGAAAAGTTGGTTGCAGGTAAGTCAGCAAACACGTTTAACGCGATTTCTCTAGTCTGTTTACATTTTATTGCTCTTTAATTGGATTGAAATGTCACTTGCTAGAGTATCCATTAAAAATAATCAATTCTTTTTTTTCTATTTTTAAATTTTTTATGTGTGCATTCTCATAAACTAATAAACGTTAATCGTTCATTTTGAACTGTTGAGTTTGTTAATAGAACTAAACTTATTCATCGTTGATAATAATACGCTCCTTCTCATTGCGTTTTTGCAATATGGATACAACAAGCTGAATTAAAATTATTAAATAAGAAAAAGAACTATAATAGTTTAGTTACAACTGATAACAAACAACCTCATACCCAGATATTCTACTGGAGCAAGGAGCATTCGTTTTTCTTTTTGAGATAAAATTTGCTGTTAACAATTAACGAAGCTAGGACACAATTAAAAGTTAACGTAGGTGCGCCGTGGGAATATCTATTTAAAAAAATCGCTAAGAAAACCTGGAAATAAAACTTTTCAAGGTTGTAACGTTTAAAAAGATTTAAATGATCTAATCTTTCAAGGTCTTTAATTTTCAAAAGAGGTCATCCCCTAACAAGAAATTTCAATTTGCTCACTTCCTTTCGTGGTGAAACTATACGTTTAAAGTTCTTCTCTCTGTTGAGATGTCTTTCAAAATTTTAAGTGTCGGTTGGGTTAAAAAGCTCGAGCGATGAAAAGTTGTTCATCCTTATAAATGTTATAACTTTGAAATATTTTAGTTCCATGTTTCGCTAGAGATATTTTCTAAATCGAAGTTATTTATATATTGATTAATTTATTAATTAATTACACGTTAATAATCGTATATATAATAAATTATATTGCTACTATATGCTCCTAATGTTTATACGCATTCATTTACCTGTACGTGTATAGGCTAAAAGAAGTTATCAGTAGTAAATTAAGTTAGTTTGTTAAGTTTATTGTTAGTTTTTTTTATCGTTTTTGTTATTATTATTACTATTATGACAGGTTCGTGCTAACGACATTGTTGACCGTTTTCCCATAAGTTCTACTCACACAACATCGTCAACAAAATCACATCAGCTAAATCACAACGACTAGATCCAAAAAACTAAATAACAGCAACAAAATCGCAGCAACAAAATCGCAACAATAAAAATCGCACAACTAAATCACAACAATTCAATCACAACAACCAAATCACAACAAATAAATTGCATAAAAATAACCATAGCAACAAAATTACAACAACACTAGAAATATGAGTGGCCTCAGATTTAGCATTGATGTCATCTTGAAGAAGCATGAGGAAAATGATGGTAACAATAATATTGTTAACAATTACAGTAAAGAAGTCAATGGTAGTGGTAACACAAACAACAACACAGACAACAACACAGACAACAACACAGACAACAACACAGACAACAACACAGACAACAACACGGACAACAACACAAACAACAACCTCAAAATCAACAACACAAACACTTACACATTCAAAGACAACTGCTCACATGAAACAAACAACAACAGCTTAACTACCAAGCAAATAAACCCAGACAAAAAATACAAACAGACGTTACGGCAACAACTACAGTGGCAACAAAAATATCAAAAACTTCTGACACATCAACAGCAGCAGCAGTGGCAGCTGCAACATCAGCCACTACATCTCCATCATCAACATGCAGTTTCCCACAAAAGAATTTCCGAACGCCAGTGGAAACTCCACTTGCAACAACAAACTCTTCCGACAACTTGCCCTCATTATCAACATTACCATCCAGCTCATCACCATCATCATCATCTTTTCTTCCATCGTCATCTTCATCATCGTCATCACCCTCCTAACCTCTATCGATGGTTCAACTTTCATAATTTTAGAAACAACACCGGCGGAAAAAATTCCAACAGGAGCGATAACGATGCTGGCAACGTTAATGCAGTTAACGTCTTCTCAGCCAAAGATACTGGTTCGAAATCTGCAGAAGATGCTTCGGAAAATATTTGGGGTAATTTCTTATTGATCTCTAGAATATAATAATTTGTGTGTGTGTGTAAGTATGTGGTTTTTATGTGTGTTTGTATGTTTGTGTCTGTATGTGTGCGTGTTATAAACTTGAGCACCTGAAAGTAGTTGCCGCCCAGTCAGCAAGAAATTCATTACGAGATCAAACAAGTTGTCCAAACGAGGCGAACATAACAAACGAACATAGCAAGCCAGACCGAACTTTTGAAACAGGTAACTTGTAGATACATTCCCGCACAATATTTGTACATAAGAGACTAGCCAGCAGTGGTCAGTCAGTGTGCTGCACTTCTTTTCCATTTGTCTACCATTTGTGAACAACTTCGCGAGAAACACATGCCACGTAGAATCAAAGAATTTAAAAAAGATGTGAGAAAAAGAAATGGTGAAGAACTTGTGGACAAGGGAACATTAATATACAAACAAAAACACAGACATATTAACACACACGCACATAACCACACACGCACGCACATAAACAAACGCACACTTGAAGACAAACCTATCAGACAATTGGATGAACACATGTGTTGCACCTCCCATCACGGTCAAATCACGCAACTACAAAAAATTCTAAATTGAATGTTCTTGTCTTAATAATAGGTGGTCTTTGATTTTGGTCTTTCTATCTTTCAAACATATTTAAGTGTGCGTGTGCGCGCGCGTGTGTGTATATGTGCATGTATTTGTGTGCGCGCGTGTGTGTGTATGTGTGCATGTATTTCTGTACGTAAGTTTGTGTATGTATTTTTTGTTATGATGTGATCGTCCTTTGTCACTATTCTTGTTTCTGTTGATATTTATTTACTCGAACTGATGACAAAAATTTTCCGAAATTTTCAACCGAACATCCAGTGACGAGAAGCTTCTCCATGAAAGTTCATGAAAATAATTTCAAATGTGCGTTTTCACCTCACGAAACTTTGCAGTCGCAACATCTTCCACAACTACCTCAACAAGAACCACAAAATGAGCAGGATGGCAAAACAAAACAAACTGAACAACACCATGACCCGGCTAAACAAACTTTTCAAAAATATTTTTTTCACCGAAATCAAGGCGACATCAAACTCGAACAAAATTCCTTTGAAAAAAATAAACAACACAAGTATCAACAACACAAGTATCAACAACAGCACAACCAGCTACGACTCCCAGACAGCAAACAACAACAAAGGGCATCGACATCGGAGTCATCGCCAACCAGAGACAGGAAACGCCTGCGTTCATCATTCACTCACCTCCAGGTGTTGAATTTGGAGGAAACCTTCAAGAGGAAGAAGTACTTGACAGCCGATGAGAGGGTCTTGGTTGCTACCTACCTCGGTCTGACAGGTTAGTTGGTGTCACGTGAGAAGAGGTGACGTCACTTAATGATATTTTGTTGACGTCATAAGAGCTTATGCTCGCCATTTCATATGTCGTGTCATCATTTACGTAGTTAGTAAATCAAGTTGAGAAGACATGAAGCGATATTCAGCTAATTGCTGAAAATAGCTATGTCACTTTATCATTCCACACTTCTCAATTTAATCATAGGCACTTAAGTTAAATCTAAATCGCTTGTGATATGGTAGTATCAATTAAACCATCGCTGAAATCTCTTATGAATAACAAATTGATTGCACTGAACATCTCCCAACCAGAAACGCAGATCAAGATATGGTTCCAGAACCGACGGTACAAAACGAAACGAAAACAAGTACTTGCGGACATCATGGCATCCATTCAATCCATCCCCGCCGTCCACCAGATGTGACTTCATCGGGAAAAGACTTCGTCCAGACGAGAACGCACTTAAAAATTCAAAAAACATTTTCTTAAAATGACCTAAACGTCACATGGAAGTTTAATCGGATAAACCTGTCAGCCTCATGACAGAATTAGTAACAAATCTATCTGAAAAAAACCACCTAGCGTTTTAAATGATCCCAAGCCGAGTCATTTAATCAAACGTAAGTAAGCCTATAAATTTAAATAACTCTCCAGTGGAGATAAGTCCCGGACAACCGCGTGACGACCGATGAAAGATATTTTCATTTTTTTTATTTCAACAACATTTTAATTTTTAAACAAATTAAATAGCTATACAATAAAATGTTTATAAATACTAATATATATTAATATATATATATATATATATATATATATATATATATATATATATAATATATATATATATATATATATACGTAACACACGCACACACACTTGTATGTATAAAACACGTAATAATAACTTTGGTAAAAATGTAACATTACGATGTTAATTATTGAAAGTACAAACAACGAACTAAGCTAATTATAAAAACCGTAGAAATATATCAACAGGCAACGAACGAAAATGTTGAGGTAGTCTGGTAACTTATTTAGCAAGATCAAAACAAATAAACAAACAAACAAACTGAAGGATGGTAATTAATAGTAATAGTAGCATTAAAGGTAGTAGTATTAGTAGTAATAGTTGTGGTAGTAGTAAAAGTAATAGTGGTGGTGGTAGTAGCAGTAGTAGTCGTAGTAGTAGCCGTAGTAGTAGTAGTAGTAGTAGTAGTACTAGTAGTAGTAGTAGTAGTAGTAGTAGTAGTAGTAGTAGTAGTAGTAGTAGTAGTAAGAGTCGCAACAGAAATAGTAAGAACAGTAGTAGGAGTAGCAGTAGTAGTAGTAGTAGTAGTAGTAGTAGTAGTAGTAGTAGTAGTAGTAGTAGTAGTAGTAGTAATAGTAGTAGTAGTAGTAGTAGTAGTAGTAGTAATAATAATTACAATGGAAGTGGCTTACATTAATCAGTTGTCGGTGATTTTAATTTAAAGTGGAGCATGTATAGATGAGTGTTGGCTGAACCTAATAGGAAGAAAAACTTTCGGGAAAGCATGTACGATGAAAAAAAAATCATAAAAATAATATTTTTATTTATTTCTATTAAAATGACGAATCATAACAACGGACCACAATACTGAGTTGTACTAATAAAACTGCTGACTGTTCGGATTCGTATTCTCTGAGCTACGGTGAAATTACAACAACAACAACATTAACAACAACAACATCAACAACAACAACATCAACAACAACATCATCAACAACAACATCAACAACAACATCACCAACAACATCATCAACAACAACATCATCAACAACAACATCACCAACAACAACATCATCAACAACAACATCAACAACAACATCAACAACAACAACATCACCAACAACATCATCAACAACAACATCAACAACAACATCACCAACAACAACATCATCAACAACAACATCAACAACAACATCATCATCAACAACAACAACAACAACATCATCAACAACAACAACAACATCATCAACAACAACATTAACAACAACAACATCATCAACAACAACAACATCAACAACAACATTAACAACAACAACATCATCAACAACAACAACATCACCAACAACATCAACATCAACAACAATAATTATTATTATATTATTGTTATTACTAATAAAAAATAATAAACAATCAATAATAAAAACGAACAATTGTGTAGGTGTGTGTTTGTAGTTATGTATGTGTGTGTATGTGTGTGTTTATGTGTTTGTATGTCCGTGAAAGTAACAAAAATGAAATTTTGAAATATGTTCAACGGTGATAACAAGAAACAAATAGGCAAACGTATTTCTAAAAAAAAACAACAAACAAACAAAAGAATTCGGTTTTTAAGAGCAACAATTAAACACATGAATATATGCAACAAAGTCACCATCATCATCGTCATCATCATATGTTAGTTTTTTCTTTCTTTATAAAATTCTATCCATTAAAAAGTTCGTCCGGAGTTTAAATGTTCATTTAGTAGTATTTGAATGTCACAGAAATATTAATTTAATATTATAAAATGAATGTCTTGGTTCGAAAAATTAACGCTGGGTAGGAAGGGTTTTAGCAATTCGTTATTCAACTTATTCAATATATACAACACACACACACACACACACACACACAAATATAAATATATATACACAAACACAAACGCGAGAACACACACACACACATACGCACACACATACATACACACACATATATAAACACACACTCACAGACATACATGCACATAATTTGTATGTATGCCTGTACGTATTTATTATATCATAACACGCCCCGTAATTAAAATTAATAAATTATAATTGTAATAAATACATTAATCATTTTGGACATGAGCGTATGGCAAATCTAAGCGAATGTAACTAACGGCCAACTGGTAACAAGGAAGCTGTAGTAACTAAAGCAACAACAATAACGATAATATATATACATAACTTCTAGAACTGAATAAAGCAGCTGCTACATAATGACAATAATAATAATAATAATAATAATAATAATAATAATATGAATAATAATATGAATAATAATAACATGAATAACAACATCATTGTTAACAGGAAATTAAAATTATTATTAATAATATTATTAAATAATAAATAGATAATTAAATAGAAATCAGGTCATGATAAAATAAAATGAAACGGTAAACAAAAGCTCCACTCGGAGGAAAAGATGAAATTTCATCATTCCCACCACAAAATTCCGCCATGTTAATTCGAGTCATCACCACTTACAACAACATCACCATGGCGAACAGCATCACCATGGCGAACAGCATCACCTTGGCGAACAACATCACCATGATGAAGAACATCAGGACGAACAACGACACGTTCGTCATCATCGTCCTCAGGAGTGTATAGTATTTGGCCAGCAGGTTTGTTGATGAGCCTGTTGTCGATGAGGACAGGGAAAACGTTCTGCCTCCTGCAGCCGGTGTACGCGTCGTCGACGTCTTCGGCCACTCTCCTGCCGCTCTTAATCGTGTTGCCAGCCATTTTGATGACGCCACCACCAGCGTCATCATCACTATCATCGTCAATACCGTCAAGATCATCATCATCTTCTTCTTCATCATCATCATCATCTTCTTCTTCTTCTTCATCATCATCTTCTTCTTCATCATCATCATTGGAGCCGCTATAGTTAAACGGCAGAGATGTTAAAACATTCGAAAATGCTGTTAATGATGATGATGTTTGAATTGGTATTGATGATGATGATGTGGATGATGATGATGATGATACTGCTGGAACCGCCACTGATGATGATGATAAGGATGCTGACAATGACGTTGGAACCGGTAATGATAATGATGTCGGTGCTGGTAAGGATGACAAGAATGGTAAGATGGATGACTTGAATGGAGATGATGAGGCTGCTGGCGGTGGTGTCTTTGGAAGTAGCTTCGGAGACAACGACGACGATAACGATGGAGTCGGCGGGGTAATTAATGATAGCAACAGTGGTCCTGCTGCTGCTGAAGTTGTGGCTGCTGTCGGTACTGCTATTGGAAGTGGCGATGATGAAGGTGTGAAAAAAGATGATGACGATGATGTAGTCATTGGTGGCGATGATGATGATGACTGACTTGGACTCTGAACCGGCAATGCTAAAAAACATAGTGATGGTGATGATGACGACGACGTTATCAGTGGCGACTTTTTGTTGATCACATTCACCTGAACGCTTCCATAACAGTCAAATTCATTCCTACTTTTTAGACCGTTGTCATCACTGCTGTTACATTTACTGTTGTCGTTAATGTCATCACCAATGTCGTCAGTGAGGTTGCAGCTGACATTAATGACGTTGTTTCTGCTGCTGTTGTGGTTGTCGACATCAACCTTACTGCCGGCAAGAGATGAGAACGCCAACGACGCGTCGGAGCTGTTCCCCGAGCGAGACAAACTAATGAAGGAGACACTCGAGCTGTTTGTCGCAGGTGTGATCACAGTGGCAGCTACAGTAGCGACAACGACGGGGGTACCAAAGACTCTGGATGGCATGACGGGAGTTTTCACGGAGGAGTAAATATCCAATAGTGGGAACATGGAAGATGAGTTGGTTTTGTGGAGAAGATCTTGCTGTCGTTTTGCTTGCTCTTCATCCCTTTCGTTCAGTTGTTTTCCAAGCTGTTGTTTAAGGATTTGTTGCTGCTGATGTTGTTGCCAACGTTTCGAGCCGGGCTGTTGCCCAGTTGAGGTCATGAGAGGCGGTAGGATGGTGGTGACCTGCAGTGGAACACCACATCCAACTTTTGAATCGTGCTGGAATGATGTTTCCTCGGTGTCCTTGCTTTTCTTTTCTATATTTTCGTACATGAGATTCAGAAAGGTTCGGCCATCTCTAGCCTTCCTAACAGCTGAACTGTGTCCGTTGTTGCCCGTGCTACTTTCACTCAAGTGGTAGCTGGTTAACTGGTTGTTGCTGATGACGTCACTCTTTAGGTTGTCATTGTTTCTGCCAATGTTACCTGGCAATAAGTTGTTGACGCTACTGGAGACCTCTGTTGCATCATCATCCCTCCTCTTCTTCGTCTTTTTATTTTTACTCTCTTTCTTCTTCCTGCTACTTTTGTTACTTTTCTTACTACTCAAACTTCCGAGGAATGCCGCATTAATGTTATCCTCATCGTCGTCATCACCATCATCATCATCATCATCATCGTCGGCAACACATTTCAATCTTCTACAAACACCACCAGCAAGGTCAGCATGGTTCTTAATGCTGTCATCATCATCATCTTCAGGTTTCTTATCAGTATTATAATTTTTGCTGGCAGTTTTGTTATAACCAGGAACTGGAATGATGACCTGATGCTTTCCACTTTCAATGTCACCCTGGGGCTGCTGTTGACGATGGGGGTGATGGTGACGATGGGGGTGGTGGTGAATCGAAGAGGCCTTCGTTCCATGCCGAACACTTCTCTTGACAGCCCCATCACAATTCTTTACGTCATCATTACCACCACCACCGTCAATAATGTTATTACCATTACGATGGCCACTTTCACCATCACTATCTTCTTCACTACTACTTCTTCCATCATCATCGTCGTCCTCATTGCTTGGGGGGCGTTGAAGGCTGAATTGATTGTTCATTGTCTTGAATTCTATGGAAGAAATTAAAAGGGTACATTGGCTAGCTAATTTGAATTGTCAACTGATATGATTGTCATCATGATTATAAATTATGATTATTATGATAATAAATTATGACTATTATGATAGTAAATTATGAATATTATGAATATAAAATTATGATTATTATTATGGCGAAACTCTCTCTTTAATATATTTCAGAGGTGCCAAACGACAAACACACAGTGCATATGAACACGGGTAAACCAATTATGTACATTGCATGTGATAGGTACTTTCACCATTATTACACCATTAAGTCAATTCACTCTCAAATAACAATAATAATAATAATAAAATGAATAGATTCAAACAAGGCCAACAAGCAAATATAGGAACGAATGAACATTGAACACATTGCGATCAGGCAAACCAAATCGATCGTTCACCAAACAACTACGTAGTCATAATGTAATCGTAATCATAATCAATAACATCATCTTCATCATTGCCACATCACCACCTCGTCTTTATAATTATCAAGCAAAAATTTAAAAAAAAAATAAATCATGGGAATAATAATAACAAACTAACTCCAATCAGTAGACATGTGATCATTGTTACTATTATTATTATTATTACCATTATTTATTTTATTATTATTATCATTGTTATTATTATTATTTTTATTATTTTTGCCGCTATCAATTTCGATCACCTTACCATTACTGCTATTGGTATTAATGTCATTACTATTGTTCATATCAATATTATTATTATTGTTGTTGTTGTTGTTGTAGTTGTTGTTGTTGTTGTAGTTGTTGTTGTTGTGGGAGATGACGTTGATGGTATCGCTGTTGTTGCTGGTAGTGTCCTCGTTTTTCAGCAGGGGTAGTATATTCTGCGGCATCTGAATAATGTAAAAATAACAACATTTATTATTATTATCATTATTATTGTTATTGTTGCTGTTGTTGCTGTTGTTATTGTCGATAATATTATTATCGATTTATAACAATAACAACACTAACCAACAACAAAACAGACCTTCAAAAAGTATTACATTCAACAACAGTGCACAAACAGTAGAACAACATCCTAACAATATCCCGACAACACTAGTTGCAATAAAAACAGCCACAAGAAGCAACAGCAGCTGCAACAACAACCTCGTCAGGCTCTTCGTAATTGTTGAACGCCAACTTGATGTTCATCGCTGGACTGTCTTGGCGGGCGGTGTGCGGTTTCTGATGGGAATTATAATTTACTGTGTAACTGAATTATATACTTAAATAATAAATATAAATTTACTACGAATAGATAAAGCTTTGTATGAGTAGAACTGTTACATAATCACGTAATCAAAACCTTTCATTAGAAATGATGATGGGAAATGGTGATGATAAGTAATGAGGATGGCGACGATGAGAAACTCACTTGATCAGGTGTGGTGATGTTCACATTCTTCCACCTTTGGAACTTGGTGATCCAGGAATGCCTGTAAACTCTGTTGTATGTGGTAACATCAGTATCGTCACAATTGTCATGTTTGTCATAACCCCCATCATCATCATCATCGTCATATTATCATCATCATCAAACTAACTCCTATCATCCTGGTGATCATCATATGCATCATAACTGCCGTAACAGCTATGGGTGAGTGGAGCGTCAATAACATCATTCATTCATCCTCACCAGCAGCCCACTTAGCACAAAAACGTGACAGCTCTCAACGTCGCTACTAATTATCATTAGCCTCGCACCGACTGCAACAACATTCGGTCGGCTGTTCTTTATTGCTATGAAACTCAGCCATCAGTCAATAAACAAACTGCAACTTTTACAGATTCAAATTCAAAATCCATTTATTTAATAAAGACAAAAACCAACCAGCAAACAAAGAGATAAATGAATAACAAACGACTGACAACACCAGCGAAGAGTAGCTCGAACACACACAACACCAACGAAACGACCACACCAGGCAATTCTAACTTGAACACGATGACGAATCCAATGATGATGGCAACCAGCAGGCAGGAGAGGATGATGATGGCGTACTTTTCTGGCTGTGACCTGCGATGTTGCACGCTGGCATCCTGCAGTGCCGTCCTGAAGTACAAACTTTTCTGAGATTTCACTCCCTTCCCTGACAGACCATCTTGCCACGCGGCACTCTTCAGACCATTGTATGGAAGTTGTCGTTTAACAAAGGACCTGTGCAATCTCCTTTGCTCGGACTCCTGCTTAAAACACAGTACAATAACATTGTTGAGGGCTTGCAGCTGTGCAGAGATGAATGAGAACTTGAACGGCTTCTGCTGATTGCGTGTTCTAGTGCTCAACTGCTCTTTATAATTCACAAATCGAGAACAATCTAAGGCAGTCATTTTCCTTTCTAGAAATTTCTTTTTGTTTCTATAGACCCCCACGATGAAGTTTATGTCGGCCGGTGAGAGAGGCTCCAGATCCATCATGTACACCTGGTTCTTCTGCAGGTTGTCCATCTCTACAAAGTACTCATCGTGTTTGAAGAGGATCGTCTCGTGCTGGCCTGTTTTGTAGTTGGCGGCGCAAATGATGACTATGTTCGTTATTGATATTTGTTTTAGTGTAAAGTTGAAATTATTAAATGTGATACCCAATGAATACCGTCATATCTTTTTCAATTCTATTTGCAACTCAATAGTATCTTCATTCCTCCAAAAAACATCTCATAAATTTTTTGTTGATCATCATCACCACCATCATCATCGCCATCATCATCAATAACAACACCTTCATCATCATTCATCATCATCAGTAACCACATAGCCATCCTCTTCATCCACATCCTCACCATCACAACTAACCAATACATTTCTTATCATTGAACTCAGCAACGGGACAGTAAGTGAACTTGTAGAGGAAGTTGAGCTCTCTGTTGAATCTGGCTGACCTCTCGAGACTGATCCCAGCCGATTGTGACGTGATGTTGTACAGCGTCATTTTCAGGTTTAATGGAGCTGCGAACGTTTTAATTCATTGACCATTAAACATAGGCTTCCGTAACATCGTATCTATCTAAGAAATAATTTTCCACGTGCACATCACGTGCAGACAGTTACTGAAATGAATCAAACTTTCCTACAATGTTAAAACAATTTCGTTTCACTTTACAAACTTTACAACCAAATTCTTTCATTACGTTGGAAAATTTAAAAAAGGACAATGATAATAAATGATTGTAATGATTGTAAATTGTAAAACAATGGTAATTGTAATTGTAAAACACAATCAAGTATGACCACCCAACCTATCGACCAATCATAAGTCTGTACCTGCCAGACAATGCCTCGACTCAAATTCTTATTGGTCGATGCTGATATGCCAAAAATGATCGAGGACATATTGAAATTATCAGGGTAGGTGACTGTCTGCTTGTGGTACTTGAACTTTGATAACAACGATGATGATGATGATGGTGATGGAGATGATGATGATGGTGACGACTGCGATTCTTTCTCAACAGTGAACCAGTCAATTTCATTCTAGAATCAAAAAATTATTATTATTTTATTATTATTACTATAATAGCAAAGAATGCTGGCGTTAGTTGGCAATGACGAAAGTATAAAGAGCAATAATAACAGTGGCACTGATTACAAGGATAAAAAAAAACATAAAACAACTGCAATCAAAACAACAACACTAGAATTAATTGCCAAATACAACAACAGCCATCAAATTTACGACAACAACGACGACCACAAGAGCTTCAAAAATCGCAATAAAACATAATGATCTATTTCCAGTACAGCAACACTTCAGCAACAACAACAGAAACGACAACAACAACAACAACAGAAACGACAACAACAACAACAAATGCATCCAAGAAACACTTGACATAACGTAAACGAAATAACAACGATTACATAATCATTAACAACGACGATATTGTCAATAATTAAAATAAGCCTAACAACTGCTGGCAGCAATAATGCTAACACAGCAATGCAAGTGCACACTTTTCAATTTCAAACTTCCTTGTGGCATGTGCACTCTTTGACAAATCAATGACAAAATGAAGAATATAAGCAGCGTGAGTCGGATAAGTTAGAAAGTTCCAACTCCCAGAAAAACATTCAACTTTTGCTTCGTAAATTTTACTTGAATATCACAACTAAATAAAAGATACTTTTAAAAACACTTAAAATCAGTCGTTATAATGGTTCTCCATAGTAAAGATGACCTCATATTTACATATCTTTAAAACATACTTAAAGATAATTATGGTATTGTTGTAGTTGTTGAGAAAATTGTAGTTGTTATTGGTGTTGAAGCAGAAGAGGCTGACGTCACGGTCGATTGTTCAGTGGTTGCGGTAGACGTAGTTTCTGACGATGATGGTATTGTTGTTGTTGAGAAAATTGTTGTTGTTGTTGGTGTTGAAGCAGAAGATAATTACGTGATTTTATTCACACTTTTACCAACTATTTTCAATACTAAAGATGACTGCATTTCGCGACACACACGTACATCCTCTAAAAAAACACGACATTAAAAAATTATCAATTGAAAAAAATTCCGGAGTCAAATGAAAAATATCAGACTTTAGTTAGCCAAAAAATTTCGACTTAGACAAAAATCTCCAACTCCGACACTGATTAAGACACTGATTAAGGCTGATTAAATATACGAAGGCACCCCAACTATTAGATAGAAAACATGAGCATGTCACTTGAGACAGCAAGCAGATCACAATATCTAATTATCACTATTATTATATATTATTATTATTATTATTATTATATATTATTATTATTATTATTATTACTATTATTATTATTATTGTGAAGTTGTGACGATTGTGATGATAATGATTGCGCGATTGAAATATGCCGCCTGTATATTTTGTGAAATTGTGACGATTGTGATGATAATGATTGCGTCTTTGAGGCGTGCCGCCTGTATATATCTTATACAGCCTATATATTTTAATAGACATTCTATGCATGTATATTTTGTTATTTGATATGCTATATATGCGACGCTGCTGTGCTGTTTTGTATATAGGGAGTATAGCAATATATGGGACGCGTGCTACGCGCTGTTCTGAGTATAGGAAAAGAGTATAGATGTGAGTATAGAATTTTCTATGATATAGAAAGCGTTATGTAGATAGGGCGGTAAAAACATATAAAAGGCCGCGAGTTGAGATATATGAGAGGTTGGTCGTTTGTTATTTTTATTTTAGGTTTTGTTTCTTGCTTGGTAGTTGTATTATTAATAGATTAATTTTGGATTTATCGTTTTTTTTAATAAAGACAGAGGTTTGACTTGTATTATTTTGTTTGTTATTTTGTTTCTTTTATTGAATAAAAGAAGTGTACACTTGAAGTTTGGCTCGGCTTAATTATTCTACCTAAAATAATGGATGTTGAAGAAGACTTGCTGATAGTTGACGAGGTCGGCGTCTCTAGTCAACAAGCAGGACGCGAACAAACTTCCGCCCGGCCCGTGTTTTCAGACCCTGAGAGTGTCTATTGTAGAGTGGCGGATCCCGGCCAGGAAAGACTCTGCCGAAGCGAAGGCTCGGGTGGATATTCGTATGCGGACGCGGTTCGGGACCGCGTGGTGCGGAATTCGAATGTCGCCCGGCAAAAATCTACATTATTATTAATCAAATTCACCAGAACAAAACAATAAGCACTGCATTCTAATAATTTAAAATGAATCTGATCGAATGATTAACAGTTCTTGTGCAAGCTAGAGGCAAGTCAGCCAGAGCTACGGCGCACCAGTATCTTCTTATCAAACTTCAGTATTGTACTGTATTTGGAAAGATGCCCTTCCTTTCAAATAGTCCACGAAGGCAGGAGTTAGAAACATTGATACGAAGTTAGAAACATTGATACGCATTAAGTTCTCAGACATTAAAACAAACAACATGAACGTTAAGTGGAAGATAGCCAATCTGATCTGATATCTCTTACTCACTCAATTGCATGCAAGTACCTTGTTAGTGGGGTATCATAAAAAAAAAGACTTCTAAGAAAGAAATGTGCTATTAGCTGTGTTGTAAGTATTGATAGGAGGTGATGGTCGTAAAAATGTTCAACCTGGTGCAATGCGATAGTGGGGAATATGCTATAAAATAGATTGATCGGCTAGTAAAGATGTTTGTTTGCTTGTTCGTTCGTTTGTTCATTTGCTTATTTGTTGTTTGTTTGTTTTTTTGTTTGATTGTTTGTTAGCAAACTAAGCGTAACAAACAATCTGACGACATCAATAGCGCAATGAAACAACATCAACCACAAAATAAATATCACGAAGAAAATAACAAAATTTAAACATTCATGCCAGCCAGCAACGTCAAGCCCTTCCTTAATGAAGCTGCACTGGTGAAAACAATGTCGACAATAATGTAAAAACACCATTTTGAACGGTGTTAACATATACAACGACAACGAAAACAGCAACAAAAACAACAACAACAACAAAAACAACATCGACAACAACAACGACGACGACAACAACAACGACAACAACATCATCAACATCAAACAAGACGGCAATTTAACCCACCGAGCACGTATAGAGTCGCCAGTCAAAGTACATTCTAGGGCAGGTGAATATCGTGAATGTTAAGCCATCATCGCCACCACCATCCTCATCACCATCATTATCATCATCATAGTGAACTTTACCATCACCATCGTCAGCGATACTATTACCAAAATCTTTACCATGGGTGCCGTGTCTATGAAGCTTCCATAGCAAGACAGACGAGTTAGGCAGATGGATTACCGTGAAATTTTTTATGGCGGGAAGTTCTGCGGAGAAAGAACAGTGCCGACGATGATAGCATGATACATGATTTGATTATATCACGATGATAATTATAATGATATCAATGACTGTATTCAAATGATGATGATAAAAATATCGACGATGATGATGATGATATATACCAATGATCATTGACGACGATGATAATAATAACGGTAAGAATGATAGGATACCAATGATAATGATGGTGATGATAACAATGGCGACTAAGATGATACTGGTGATGATGACGATGATGATAACAACATGATATAACTGATCATGATAACGTTATCTGACGTCAAAGATAACGATGATACAGATAATGTGATGATACATAAGATGTGATGATACAGATGATGTGCTGATACATATGATGTGATGATAACTACAAAGAAGATGAACAAACTTTAAAACTAAACTCAGAGGAAAAACATTTTATGTTAAATCAACTTTTATCTTTAATATATGGAGTATAAATTCTATTTATATTCTGACATGAATCCTATAACAAGGATGTAGATAGGTAATAAAAAGCACAAAAATCATCAACAAGGCACTCGCTTTAATCATCTTAAACATCGCCATCAAAGAGACATTATCATCATTCTCTAGGCACCTTTTAACCATCAAGATATCCAAGCATCATTTCTAATCTTCATCATTAACATCACCACAATAATCGCCATAGTTTGATGTAATAACCATCATTATAACCAGCAACATTCACATACATGTTAATATCGTTAAGTATAAATCAATTACTATCAATAAACCTACACTCACAATTGCACATGTTGAATAATAATTGCCATCTGCTGGACATAAGCACACACACACGCGCACACATATATATACACACGCACACATATATATACACGTAAACACACACTCAATCACACACACACACACACATATATATACACGTACACACACACTCAATCACACAAACACACACATACTAGCATATACACACGCACAAACACACACACAAACACACACACGCACGCAAACATATATACATACGTACACACACTCACAAGCACAAACACACACACAAACGCACACACACACACACACACATATATGGATATATACTCGTACACACACACTCACACACCAAACACATACACACACATACTCACAAACACACACATATACCCGTACACACACACACACGCACACAGATACCGCCGGTAAACATCAACAAACGAAAAAAAATAGCAACCACAATGTTATTTGTTTGATTTTTATATCAAGTTAGAGATGAAATAAATGTTGGTCAAATAATTAGGTCAAAATGAAGATTAACCAATTCATCTAACATTGAGGTGGTTCTTCTCACGTTAATATAATAATACAAACACACACGTTGTGAATTGCATGCACTTAAACATCCAACCTTTTCTAACATGAATCCTTAAACTAGATAAATAAATAAACATCAAACGAACAAAAATCCAAAAGCCAAACTTCAAAAAAAGTTCAAAATATGTATAACGGTGACTATTTATACCAATTAGAATTACTGAACAATGCTATGCACACACAAACCACACGCACACACACGCATACACACACAAACACACACACGCACACAAACATCTCCTCATCCTCACATAGCCATAATTGATAGCTAGGCAAGCAAACAGGCAAAACAAACAATAAGATACAACAGAGACAAACAAACCATCCAACAAAGAGACAAATAGACAAACAGACAGACAAACCTAAGTATTCTTTGTAGCTAGGTAAATTGATGAGATCCAGACGCTGCGATTCATTGTAGCCAACAGAACTGGCGACATCGATGGCTACCTTATGTGGGACGCCTGATTTCAAATCAAGCGAGAAGCAGCTGTTCATCCTGATGTCATGCCAGACGTTCATTGGCTTTGCTGAGTTGCTCTGAGAATCTGCTGCCGCTTGATTGCCGCTGGACGCGAGGGTGGTGGAAAGTGGTGGTGGAATCGAGGTTGTAACGATATTTCTACTGTTGTCGCCTTCACCGATCCCCTTATGTAGATGTGGTGTTCCGTTATGCTTTGGAGGTTTCGGAAGTTTTTGCTTGCTGTTTGAAGCATTGAAGCCAACTTGATGCAGGAGGTAGTGCGGGCTGAGGTCGGCGTCGGATACGTTAGCTAGATCTCCACCATCAGCGTCGCCATCATCCCCGTCATCATCGTCAATACCCTTGCTGTAGTCGGTCTTGTTGTCGCCATCCTTGATGGGGTTGACGGCTTCGATGACGGCATCGCCAGCGAGCTGAGACTTATCCTCCAGCTCCCTCTTCACAGCATCATCATCAACATCACTCTCGTAATCATTACCGCCCTCGACCCCGGCAGAATCATCACTCCTTTCAGCGTTGCCATCTTCAGCCACGTTACTTTCGATGTCGTCATTGGCGACACCTGTCTGATCGACAGCTGATTCGAAAACACTTTCACCCTCGTCTGTACTTTCCGGCGAATGTTTATTTTGAAACTTGTGCAAACTTCGATCCTCCTCTATAACAAAAGCTCTGTAAGATCTGAAGAAGCCATTCAGCTTGCTAGGTGGGACAGCCTTGAAAACGTTTGACGATCATCATCATCATAAATTATTTTCAATTTATTTTTAATTGGAATTTTGTTTTTTATATATTAGCAGTATGTTTATTTGGTTGATTTATTTTTGATTCGTTGAACGGGAACAATGTTTAATCGTTGGTCTTCGTTTTCAGTTATTGACTATTCTATGATATTTATTCAACAATATTTCTATTACAATCATCATTACCATCACTAACATCATCACCATCACCAACATCATCACCAACACCATCACCATAATTATCATCATCAATGACTTAGCTTAGTTACTGACTTACATAACTTACTAACATAAATTTATTACGTTGAACATTACATTTCATCAGAGCTAGCAAGAACATCAGCATCATCACCATCGTTTCAGCCCCTCCTTAACCAAAAACATCATCACCACCTTTCTAACTTGCAATTCATTCACCAAACAAACTTGGATTATAAATTCACCCAGACTGCAGAATGTTCACGTTTTAAAACGACTCAGCACATTTGTTTGACACTTAAGCCTATTGTAACAGCAAGGATTGACATCATGGAATTTGTGCTTGGGAATTGAACTATACCACCAGAAGATAATTAGGACTTTTATAATCTATATATAATCTATATGTCTTAGATAATCTAATTGAGTCACTATATAATCGCCTACAATCAACATCCGCATTCTATTTAGAGGGAGCAAGATGTATGCAAAATGTCAAGGTCATTTTGCTTCTAAAAAAGTGTAGCATGAGAAGAAAAAGATAGGGAAATACCAATCCATCCAAATCTATCCAACCAATCCATCCAAACCTATCCAATCATTACAATCCATCCAACCAATTTATTCAAACCAAAAAATGATTAGCCTACAAACCTTGAAATTGATGACGACCGTCATGTGAGTCGAATTGATCGACCTGATTGAGAATCCTCCAGTATGGCAGAGCGTGGGAGCAGAAGAGGGTACTGTTTGTTTAGGTGGGGTGGTGAGGGTGGGGACAAATAATTATATTAATTATTTCATAATTAATATAATTATTTTCAATTTTATTTATTTCTTTTCAATTGTAATAAATTCACCAAAGAACATAATATCAAAGAAGTGGTTTGCTGTAAAGTAAATAAAAGAAATGATAGAAAGACTAACAAAAATAATGAATATTAATTTATATATAATTTAATTTACGATAATTTATTAATTTATATAACATAAATAATGTATCAAACTACACTACTTAATGATCCTTGCCAACATTTTCAACAAAAGATACCATAGTTGTTATAAAAATATTTAAAGAGAAAATATAAAAAAATATTCATAAAAATTAAAGCTATAATTAATATTTTCAAAACTATACATAGAAAAGGAACCTGTGTGTTGAGTGACAAATACAACGTAGTATTCATACTTCAAGCCATCCACTCCAGTAACAGGAGATTTTAGGACAGAATCATTCCGACCAGCAGTATCAATTTTAACGTTAACAACACCAGTACCATTGCCAGCACTGGCATAACTTTTGCTAGCGATACTACCACTACCAACACCACCACCACCACTACTACCAATACTTCCAATACCACCATCGCTGTTGCTAGAGGTGTTGATTGTGATGGATATGTTCATGGAGCAGACAGAGTAATAGGGCATGTTGTGCATGGGGGCAAAATAACCGACACACTGACGAATCGTGAAGGATTTAGATTTCTGCATAGAATTTGTGTAGAAAAAAAATTGAATTTATGAATAATAAATTTATTACTGAGTAACTAATTTAAGTGCACTTTTCATTTAGTTACAGTGGTACATTAATACTGTATAAAATGCCTAAACTATTTGAAGCTCTATTTCTCTAAACATTTCATAAATCTAAGAGAAACAATTTCTATCACATAATTAAATTAATAAACCAACAACAAAAAACGAAACATGGCAAGACATAGAAGAAATCTACTAACATCAGTGAGGTTTTTGTCAGGGCATGTCACGGTGAAGTTCAAATGCATTCCTTGACTGACAACACTTTTGAATACGAGGGTTGGGTAGCGGTGATTTTTTATTATATCCGCATTTCGAACTATGGCATGTGGTGTGACCAAATAAATTATTCATTAAAAAATTAATATTATATTATAATTATATTATAATTGTATTATTAAATATAAATTACAATAAAATAAGAAAGTGAAATTTTACTAATTGAGTAAAATATGTAATACTTAATTATAATTAATTAATTATTTTGTTTTGGACATTCAACTGACCAGGTAGCAACAGTGAGTGGCCGTCATCGCACTTACTTCCTCCTCCGTACGCGCCTGTTCGTCTGTCAACTGCGCGATTAGGCAAGGATGACAGTGGTAACGGCGGAGTTTTAGAGGAGGAATGCCCAGACACAAAATAAGTTAGGAACAAGAATAGTAACAAAAAAATAATTCTTGAAATCATGTTAGTGTCATGAATAAATTGTAAAAAGAAACGTTGAAGTTGTTGGTTTCAAATTCTAATCTTCGTGAGACTCATACTTTCAGCACTTCAGTTCAACCGAAGACATTTACATTATGAATTAGACCAAGTGTTCTGTATAAAGGCACACTTCTATTCATAAGGTATAAAAATACATAAATTATGAGCGAAATAAAAGAAATTTTATTTTTTAAAATAAAACATACTATAAAATTTTTTAAGTAAAGTTACGTTTGTATTTTATATTATATTTTATTTCAAAAAGTAATTTTTAGACAGAAATTAACTTTTAAATTATTACAAAGAAAAGAAACAACCATTTCTCTTTCTCTTTTCCGCTTGATTGTAAACAGGTTGCAGCTCCGTCGTGAACGTTTTTTTCAATCCGTTTAATCTGCATTTTTCGTTTTTTATTTCAACGCTGTAAAATATATTTTGTTTTTTGTTTAATATAAAATAAAAAGCTGCAGATTATTTGACGTTATTTAAGGTGCTTTCATTCATTCAAATTTGTATAAAATTTTGTCAGGTTTGGCTGATAGCCGCCATGAAGTTCAACAAGAGTGTGTCTGGTTCACGTCGCAAGAATCGTCGGCGACATTTCAATGCTCCTTCGCATATTAGAAGGAAGATCATGAGCTCGCCATTGTGCAAAGAGCTTAGACAAAAATACAACGTACGCAGTATCCCCATCCGCAAAGATGACGAAGTTCAAGTGTGTCATTTGTTTTTTCACAATTCTTAGATATTAGTTGTATGCCATACGCAAGGGTGCAAAAATTGTACACACATCTATAGCAAGATCATAGGCCGGTACTGGGTAGTCCAAAAAATGGTAAACAAAGAGTTGAAAATTTAAAAATAGATTTTGGTAAATTTTACGTCATTTAGTGGTTTATCGCCTGCTCTTGTCTTGTTGAAAAAAATGATGTTTAAAAGCGCAATTTTTAATTTTCCTTGCCTTGTAAAATGTTAAATGATTGCCATACCTTCTTGAAATAATAAATAAATTTAACTTGTGTTAAAATATTTTTTTACAATAACTATTGCATTTAGTTCTGTAAATAGTGCATCTTAATTTTTATTTGTTATTGATATTGGTTGTTAAAAGTTACTATCCTATGAAATCATTGAAGGTTGTCAGGGGGCACCACAAAGGAGCTCAAGTTGGCAAGGTTGTCCAAGTATACAGAAAGAAGTACATCATACACATTGAAAGAATCCAAAGGGAAAAAGTCAACGGTGCGACTGTCCATGTCGGCATTCACCCATCAAAAGTTTGTTGTAATTTAGTTTTCTTTTTGTTTTATTTTAGTTCATAGAATAATTTTATATTTTATTGTTCAATTTTAATGTATCATAGTCCAGTTTTGCAATGTTAAGCTTTTTCTTAAACTTTATAAATATTAATAGGTTGTCATTGTCAAACTCAAAATGGACAAAGATCGTAAGTTAATTTTGGAACGCAAGGCCAGATCCAAACAATTAGACAAGGGCAAGCACTCCGAAGAGTCAGTCATGGAAACTGCCTAGTTGATTGATTGATTTAAAGTGATATGATTGATTAATTAATTTGGATGGTTTTTCCATAACTAGACTGTTGTTGAAATGTTTGGTTTGCAATGAAATGCATATAAAACATCATTTGAAATGTTTTCCCATATTTTAAACTGAGCATTCTAACAAGTAGAAGATAATGAAATTTTAAAAATTTTCAATTGAGAATGTATAAATCAGTATGGAACACGTGACTAAGAATTACATGCCAATATGGGAACTGAGCAGATTAAAAATAAAAATAACTGGCTTTGCTAAATAATGCAGATTTCCTCCGTTTAACACATTTCTGTAGTTAAAGTTAGGTATATTTTTTATTTCAAATGAAATTATTTCTGTGGAAATGCATTGAAAAAAGTAAGAAATGAATGAGATAATTAGCGTAAGATAGACATGGCTAATTCTCTGTGCAGATGTTAAGATATTTGTGTATTGGTTTAGTGGGCGATACCACTTTAGTATTGGTGTGTGGGTGGCGAGTTTGCGTGATAATTGAGAAGGATATAAGAATCGAGGTAATTAATTCGGTGACGTGACGACGATAGTACTACTACACCTGGAGCTGCGTATGATCCGGTGCGATGTGTGTGCAGTGGAATTCGGAGATAAATAGTTTGATAAATAAATCAGGTGAACTTGGGCAACTTTTAAAAAAATGTGTATAAAACGTTAAATCTAAAAAGGCGAGTGAATAAATAAATGATTTGTGATCACAAATTGTATGAAAAATAGTTGTAAAAATGTTACTAAATATAATAAGAACATAACTACGCGAAAAAAAGTTTGGAAGGCGGATGTGATAATCCGTGGCGGTTTTAAAAAATAAATATTTGATAGAAACGTTCGACTGATAGAGTAAAATAATAAAAAAATTAATATGTTTAATAATAATTAATAAGTTTAAAATTTAAGAACACTTGAATGCATAGCGTTAAGAATGAGGAGTCTTGGCATAGAGTCATTGTTTATGTATGACATTATTAACACGAGGTAAAGCGAGCTTACTTGAAATTATAGGTAATTGTAATAAACATTAGGCCACCCTGATAGTATCACTGTTCACAAAAAAAATGTATTAATGAGATCGGCGCTAGAAAAAAATACAGCTATGCAGACCAGTACAATTGTAATGTCCTCACCAAGTCGATAATTACGCTTTTTGATTGATTGTCATTACAACTGAGCTAAATACTGGCCTAACAGTTACCAAATAATAAAATTGTTGCTCACTGCACTAAAAATGCAACTACGTTTATTACAAGTGGGTATAGAGTTGAGTTGCTTCTATTTCAATTTGTCCTCGTTCTGTTACGATAGAGTTGATATAATGTAATTTAATATTACATTATTTAATATAATGGTCATAGTGGTTGCACAAGCTCTGACAGCTTACAATTATAAAATAAGAATGTACAAAAGATAAACACATTTGACAACCATCACTAAGGTCTTAATGTGACGATTGAGATGAGTGGAATAATATATGATATAGATCTTCCTGATGTAGTCATACATATAAATACACAAAAAATTAAATACATATATATCAGCAGCTACTCAGAGCTTGAAAGAAATTGTTCTTTATATTTAAGTTAAAAATGTATTTTCACTCATTTCGCTATCAATACGGCTGAAAAAACGTACTAGATGCAGTACGTGCTTGTAAAAGATGATTTGAAGATAAGGTTAATAAGAATAAATAAAGAATAAGCAACACTCGTAACTGGCTAGTTAGTTGTTGAGTTGTCGCTGTTGTCAACGCCGGTTGTTGCTGCTGTTGGCAATGATGTTGTTGTTGTTGTTGTTGTTGATGTTGTTCCTGACGTTGTTGTCGGCATTTCAGTTGACCCTTCAAGGCCAAACATGGACTTCCGACAGAGTGGACAATCTCTTTTGAACTACAGTTGAAAAATTATCAAGTCACAGCCAACATAATTTATAGTTAATTTATTAAATTAATTATTACTAATAGTTTCAACAGACTTTAATTCAGATTATTCAAAATATTAAAAAAAACGTCGTTAAAAATCAGAATTCAAAATATTTTCGAGGTCCAACAGAAACGCAAAAAAAATATGGAACCACCAGTACAATAAAAGTATTTACACAATTTAAAATATGTGGCCGCCCAAGTGATAATGGACATAATGATGAACTGTGTCTCTACTTTCATTTAGAAATTAAAAATTATTATTGCATGAAAATAAGATGCAACTAAAAACTGCTTAAAATCGGAAGTGGAGCAATCAATAAAACGCTTATAATCATATAAAAATTATTTTCTGGATAAAATTTCCACCTGCCTATTGTAAAAAAAATCAGAACTGCTAATGTGGAAGCGTCAAAACAGCAGGTTGAATAATCACAAGCAAAAAGCATGTTTCGAAAAAAGACCAAAAATATGACAAACCTTAAGCCACTCATCACAACATGTTTTATGGAATACATGGCCACAAGGTAATTGTCTGTAAACCTGAGAGGGTTTGAATTTTGATAAGCATATTGTGCATTTAATAAATGTATTAGTGCGTTGTTGTGCAGCTGCTGCTGTAGGCTTAATTGTGGTGGTGCTGGTTCTCGTCACTGAATTAATACTGGTCTGTACGGTTTGTATCACCTCAGACTTGTTGGAATGTTTATTACCATTAGCTGATAACTTGCACTTTTCATAAATGTTGCCTTCCTCAACGTCCCGAGAAGAATGCAGAATGTCGATGTTACAGCAAACAGTTTCCGTCTCCACGTCTGTGACAACGGCGTCATCGTCGCGATTGGTGTCCTTGCTAACTCGGAATATGGTGGCTTGGTCTGTGAAAACTTGTGCAGGGAGGTATCTGTCGATTTCATCTGGATTCATCTCAATCTCGCCCTCTTCTCCAAGTTCAGGTTCTTCCCGAAAGTTGCCCAAAGGGTCCACCGGGATGTATGTCATGTTCTGCAAAAAATGAAGTTGTTCATCAACCAAAAAAAAATTTTTAAATCACACGGATGCGTGTAGCCATTGAAAACATAGTATTGAAATAAGAGAATCGCAATCACAGTTAATAATTAAGAGGAAGTTATTGATTTATTGATTGGTACTTTAAATATTGAAAATATTAAACAGAAACTTCGTCTGCTAGGTAGCCATCTGCCATCAGTTCTAACAAATATTTGTGTACCTCACCTCTGTTTTATATTTGATATATGTATGTATGAGTATTAGTTTAACATACATTTTTCATAACTATAATATTCATCATATTAACAAGACATCAATCACATTTATTATATATATTGCATAAAACCATTTACAACATTCATGCAATATTAATAATGTTACTGTCACAGCTATTATTACCAAATAAATGTTTTCCAAAATAAACAAAAAAATTAGGTGAAATTGTAAAAGACAACGTGTCTTACAAACGTACAACATTGCAAAGTAGTGGGAGATGAAAAAAACAGGTGGTTCCAAAGGGATGTGCCTGGAACTGCTGCTCCCCTGGCTACTCTTTGTGTCATTAATGTTTTTGTTGTTGATGTCACCGTAATTGTGTTCTGTGCTTGCGTTTTTGTTAGATTGTTGTAGAGCTGTCAGTTCATTCAAGTTAACTGTAAAATAAGGATGTGGTCTCTTTTTTTCCTTAGATTTTAACAGCTTGCTATGATTGAACAGTTGGGACAATTTAAGAGAGTAATGTTGTTTGGCATGTTTCAAATCTGGCAAAGAGCAGCTTCTTTGGAGTTTTACAATCGATTTATTTCTCAGATATTTGTTACAAACTTCTGAGATGAATTTAAAAAATTCTTTTTGAAAACTTTCTGGCTTAAAATCACGTTCCACACTTTCAAAATTAATTTGAAATAATTCAAAATCCTTCAGAGATTCACTGAATTTGCATTTAGTTAAAGACAGCCAGCGTAAATTCCACACCGCATCAAATAGAACATTTTCGTGCTTGTTCTTTGAAATTAAAAAAGTTTGAATGCTTTATTAAAAAAAACGATAAATTGAATATTTTAACAAATGAAAGAAAGAATATCATTTTTACAACATTATATCACTTCTACTAATTTCAATAAACACAAAAATTACTCCCATGTAAAACAGACTTTTAATTGTTGGTAAAATTCCAAAAGGAAATTTTCAAGTATATTCTCTACAGATAGAGTTTCAGTTAAAAGGAGATTGATCTCACGGTGCAAAATGCCAAACTTGTATCTTGTAACATCGTGATCTGGATCGTTCAGAATAAGGCTGGTCAGCCACTCCAAAACTCTAGCACTGTATGTATGTAAAAGTTGGTAAAAGATTTCAGGACGATGAGCTTTTGCAATCCACTCTGGGTTGAGTCGTAATGGTTCAGTACCGTTGTTAGGGTTCACTGATTGTTGTTGATCATTGTTGCTTGTTTGTTGATGCTGGCTGCTGTTTAATTGTTGACTTGAGTCGTTGTTGTTTTGTTGACTCTCTGGATGGTTAGTGTAAAGGAAAGGTACATTTTCATTTTCAGATTGAGGATTATCAGTGTCAAATTTTATGACATCAAAAAGATCAGTTATTGATTGACAAGCTATTGTTATTGCATCTGGCATCTGCATGGAAATTATTTTTGGTTACAAAAATAAAAGTAAAACAATAAAAATTAAATAGCTAGATTTTTAAACAATTTTAAATTTAAAATGTTACAGACCATGACTGTGCTTTGCATTTCAGATAACCAAATTACCAGTATTGACTATTCACTATTATAAGTAAATTTGAAGATCAGTTTGTTTATCCTTATTTTAATTTTTATTTCAGTATTATATTATTTTAATTATACAGATAGAATATACAGATACAATTATTTAATTAATTTTCCTTTTATTTAATTTTTTGGAGATCATTAAAAATAAAATAAAATTGTTTTGTTGGATACTGTTTTTGAGTAATTCAGTAAATGTAAGTAAATGGGTCTCTAAATCTCTCTTCTAAAAGCATTCCAAAAGGCTTCAATTACTATTACGTATTATTCTTTCATTTCATAGGCACTATTATAGATGTTATTTTAAATTTTAAAGTACTAAAACTAAAATAAATAAAAATTATTAGTATAAAACTATAAAGTACACTAACTGAAAACTACTAAAATATACATTAATTTATTTAATTAATTGAATTAAAACTTTTTAAACTAACCATTACAAGTGACACATTAATATCGCTCTACTCTATATCACGAATTATTGAAATCATATATTTTTATATATATATAAATTATATATAATGAATAATTTTCAATCTCGTGTAGTTAAACATTAAATTTAAAATAGAACGAACAAAAATGAAATTCAAATCTTACGCTAGAATCATTGCTACATGTATTATATATGAATATAATATAACATATTAAACCATAAAAAGTGTACATATAATTTATAATAGTATATATATATTACAAACGAATTTACAGTTATAAATGTGCAACCCGAATGAATGGTTTAATAATATTGCTAGGTATGACTAACAAATTCGTCTTAATAAAACAATCAGTCGGTTATACAATAATATATATGTTATATAATATATAATAACAATTGAATTTATATAACATATAATTTATATACTAATATATGTGTATGAATATATATATGTGTGTGTACAATGTTGAAAGTCAGCTGACACATGCCAATCAGCTGACACAAGCCCACCTAATATCCATGCCCACCAAATATGAATTGGCAAAAGAAATTATTAGGGAGTGGTCAAACGAGTATCTTCTATTTTTTAACCTGACGGTTGGAGTTTTTCAAGCTTTTCAACGAATTCGTCATATTATTTGAGTTGAGTGATAAATTTTATGCTCAATGCTAATTAAATTTATAATCCGAAATTTGATTTTTAACATCCGAAATTTGATTTTTAATTTCAATACGGTTTTTTTTAATGTAATAACGGGCACACATTTAGCAGTTTTTTTAATAAGTGTAAAGTAAATCAAAGCATACTGTGTAGAATAAAAAAAAGTTGTTGATTGCCCAGTCAATTTTTCATAATAAAGTAGTATGAGGTTATAGCAGCTGTATAATAAATATTGTATGAGGTTATAGCAGCTGTTCTTACTTTCCTCTTTATATATAAAGAAACGACCGTGGCTGATTGCCAATAATTTGGGATAAATCAAGTATCCAATAAATAGTTCAAAGTTCTTTAAAATAAAGATAATATATTATTCCACGCACTCAAAAACACACGCACACAAACAAACACACACGCACACACAAACTATTGCGCAATGTAGCGATATTAAAGTTTTATTTTCCATTTACTAATTGCTAATTTACTTACGGTACAAGACAGTGTTGGCATTTTTTTATGATCATTAATTGCCTAAATGTCAGAATTATATAAAAAAATATTTGTAATAATAAAAGAACAAAAAATCTATTTATTATTTTAAAATCAAATTTACAATTTTACTTAATCTACTTTTCCTTGTTTTAGGTTTTTGTAGTAGAGTTTTTAATTTTTAATAATTTTAATTCTTATTTATTTTTATTGATTTTCAATTTATCATTAAATTAATATTTAGTTATTTATTAATTAATGTAAATATTATAGTTAATGATGACAATGGTGGTTGATGAGGTGATCATAAATGCTGCTGATGAGTATCTCAATGAATTAAAAGTTAAAAATAAAACCTTCCATCTGAAAAGCGAAGCTATCAAACAAGCTGATGAGTATGTTCGAGTTGAATAAACATTTTTTCAACTGTTTTTTTTTATGAAAATGATGTAAACAATATAGATAAAAATAAATGATAAAGATGAAAAATGATGAAATGATTGAATTGTGAATTGTGAATGATGAAATAACAAAGTAAAAGTTGAGAGTAAACTTTTTGCCACAAAGAAAAGCTAGTAGATTAAGGTACATCCATACCATATCGGCAAAATATATCATATAAAATTTCACTAGGCATGTCAGTGCTTGGGTGATAGTATTGTGATAGTAAGTTCTGGATAGATAGTATTTTAACTAATCAGGTCATAACTCTCTCTTGTTAAAACAGAACCGGGAAATTTCAATCGACTTGTAATGCCATTTGTATTGCATATAACTCTGTTACCATATGGTTTTTTTCTAATGTTTGACAAAACTTTTCAAAATTCTTAAATCAAATTATGAAAATGTGTTATTCAGGTGGTTAACGTGGTGCATAACCAACCAACATGTTTCCATAAGTTCAAACGACGTTCCTGAAAACATCCTGCCGGAAGATTGGTTCGGTGTGCTGCTCGATTGTAAAGTTTTCTGCAAAGAAGGACCCGATGATGTCTTGTTCAACGAGAATGCTGATATCAGGAGGATGGTAGGTGTTGTTTGTGTTTTTGTTTGTGTGTGTTGCATGTATGTGTTGGATGTTTGTGTGCATGTGATGCATGTTTTTGTATATGTTGGATGTTTTTGTGTATGTTGGATGTTTGTGTGTGTGATGATGTTTGCTTGTGCGTGCTGCATGTTTGTGTGCGTGCTGCATGTTTGTGTGTGTGTCAGATGTGTGGTTGTATACAGTGGGTTTGAGTTCCTCGTGCACGTTGTTCTTGTGTTTATATGGGTTCTGTCTGGTTGTTTGTGTTAGTTTCGTTAACTTGATGTTAGTTGTTTCTAGATAATTTCTTTGTTGGTCTATTCTACTTTATAGGTGGCCAGAGGTAATTGTTTCTTGAAGTTGAGATCGCCAGAATGGGTGGTGGAAACTTCCCACGTCCTTCGAGGTCTGCCAAAGTTCTGTGAAGGCCTTGGAGAGGCTGAAGGGGAGAGTAAGAAGGATGAGGATGATAAGTGGAAGGATTATTTCACGAAAGTTTGTTTCTATTTCTGTCTATAAAGATGTGATGCTAAATAAACTGCAGAAACAAAAAAAAAATCATAACTACAAAAATTATCTGCAAATGTAAAAATTTTAACTGATCCTTCCACTGAATGGATAATCATAGTTATTTCATCAATTTGTGAATTAATTTCTAATGATAGATCAACTAGAGCAAAACAAATTTGTAGCATTCCAGAAATCATCATCATCTGTATCACCATCATCATCATCATCTGTATCGTTATCTATATCATAATCTGTATTATTATCCGTATCGTCATCTGCGCCATTGTCATCATCATCTCTATCATCAGCTATTTAAACTGAGCAACAAATAAAATAAAAAACCATTCAATGGCTTTTAACATGAAGGACATAGCAGAGACAAGTTACATTCTGAGCAGCAACAAACTGAACGGCGAGTCAGGGCACATGGCAGCCCTACTCATCCACGGTACCCCCTACTGGTTGGGAGGGTCCAAGAATGTCAGCATGCTGTTTAGGAATCGAGGTAGTTAGTCAGTTAGGTAATTATGTTGATGTGATTGGCTTATTAGTTGATTTATTAGTTGTTAATGTGTGAATCAATTATACTCTGTTGACTGCTCCAGCCATTCGTTCTTGGTTGATTTCTCCAATAGTTGATTGATTGGTTTGTTGGTTGAATTATTGATCAATCGATTGACTATCCGACCGACTAGTTAGTTGATTGATTGATTGATTGACTGATTGAGTTTGTTGGTTGATAGATTGACGAGCTAATCAACCAGTTGATTAGTTTTATATAAATTTTTAAAATGGGAAAATCAACGTAGAATAAAAATTCCAACATTTCCACACACAGCGCGACAGTTAATATTGTAATGTAAAAAGCCAATAAAGATAATTAATTAAATATTCTTTTACTATTAATTTTACAATTTAAGAATTAAATGAAAATAATTAATAAATATTGTAACCTCATCACGTAAGATGACATTAAGAAGTATGCCAGCGCGCAACGATACTCCATCGCAATGGAGATCTGCGAAGAGTGGATGGGTTATGTTGACGATCACCATCATGAGGCTGGAAGGTTTTAAAAGAATGGTGGTCACTGGAATGATGATGGTTACTGGAATGATGATGATGATGGTGGGGGTTACTGGAATGATGATAATGATGATGGTGGGGTTACTGGAATGATGATGATGATGGTGGGGTTACTGGAATGATGATGATGATGGTGGGGGTTACTGGAATGATGATAATGATGATGGTGGGGTTACTGGAATGATGATGATGATGGTGGGGTTACTGGAATGATGATGATGATGGTGGGGTTACTGGAATGATGATAATGATGATGGTGGGGTTACTGGAATGATGATGATGATGGTGGGGTTACTGGAATGATGATGATGATGGTGGGGTTACTGGAATGATGATGATATTGATGGTGGTTACTGAAAAGATGATGATGGTGGTGGTTACTGGAGTGATGATAGTGATGGTGGTTACTGGAATGATGATGATGATGGTGGGGGTTACTGGAATGATGATAATGATGATGGTGGTGGTTACTGGAATGATGATGATAGTGATGGTGACTAAGATGTTGATAACTGAGATGTTGTTGACTGGAGTGAAGATAATGATAATGATGATGATAGTTGTTTATGACCAACTTTGTAGGATAATATATCTGAATCAATCACTTTATTATGTACAATCACTTTATTATGGCATCACCACCATTATCATCATTATCAGCATCACCATCATCGCCATCATCATCATCACCATCACCATTATCTTCGCCATCATTATCATCACCACCACCACCACAGATTACACTCATTCATGTGCGAGTATAAACTAACGGGCAACTTTGAATTCCTCAGCCCTCACCACCAGCACATCGAAGACTTCAGTCACATGGCCAAGTAGGGATGTGTATGCTTGTTTGAATTAATTATAAGTAGGGATGGGTAGGCTTTTTTGAATTAATTATAAGTAGGAATGTGTAGGCTTTTTTGAATTAATTATAAGTAGGGATGGGTAGGTTTCTTCCACTTGATCGTGCTTATTTTTGAATTCAATGATCATTAACTTAACAAAAATTGACTTGGGAGTATAATTTTCATTGAAAATGTCTTCAAATTTGTTATTTGGTATAGGCCGTATTTAGTCGAATAAATGATTTGTTGTTTAGTTGCATCGCTAAATTCGACTTGGCTTGGTAGATTCAATGAAGTTACTTTTGAAAAATTAATCATTTTACCGTCATCTTTAATCCACAAATCAGCATCATCTTTAATCCACAAATCAGCATCATCTTCACCATCATCATCGTAATCGTCTGTAACATTATTATCTTAATCATCTCTATCTTCATCATAATCATCTTCATCATCATCATAATCATCCCACATCGTCTCCACAGGCCTCAGTTAATCTTCATCACCTGGACATTTCTCAATTTAGAGTCCGTCCTTGAAAAGCCGATAACTGACCAGCCAACATCATCATCATCGTCATCACAACCTGCAACATTACCATCATCATCACCTACGTCATCATCATCATCTTCTTCTTATTCTTCATCATCATCATCATCTTCGTTATCGTTGTTGCTGTGTGTCCCGCCTGACATTTCAATATGCGTTAGTAACTCCATCCTAACCTTCATTCCTTGTTCATGGTAATGATTGCGATGATTATGATGAAGATCGCGATGATTGTGATGATGATTGTGATGACGATTGTGATGATGATTGTGATGATGATTAGAACTTTATTCTTTCATATATTCCATTAGTTACAAAATTATTTTTATACATTTGTATGCTGTTAATAATGGTAATAATAATAATAGTAATAATAATAATAATTATTATTGTTATTATTATTATAATGAAAACATATTTTTTTACACGTCAAAAGTAAGAAAAATCAAATGATGAAAAGAAAAGTCTAACAAAATGAATTGTAGTAAAACGTATTTTAAATGATAATAATTTATAATGATAATAACAATAATTGTAATAATTTTTTAAAAATTATTATTCTTATTTTTTAATTTTTTTTTTAAGTTTTATTTGTATGTATGTATGCATGCATGCATGCATGTATGTATGTATGTGTGTATGTATGTATGTATGTATGTATGTGTGTGTGTATGTATGTATGTTTGTTTGTTTGTTTGTATGTATGCAAGTATGTACATTGAATATCATGGCCGTTGGTTTAAAGGTTAATTTTTTATTTTTATTCAGCTGGCCCGACGCTTCAGGTTGCAAACGATTGAAATTGAGATGGTGAAGCTGGAGGACCTGTATGGGCACGTCAGAAAGGTTGGTTGGGTGTGTGGTAGAGTTGTTAGTTGGTTGATACCTAACTGACTGAACAGCCAACTGGTAGACTGATTAACAGACTGATTGAACTGTCGGTTGTTATCCAGTCATTTTATTTTATTTTACCAGTTATTTTATCCCTCGTTTAAATCATTAATCAAGTTGGTTAACTAATTGATCAGTCGAATTAATTAATCAATCAACCAATCAGGTGAGACATCGATCGAAGGTAGAGGGCTGTGTTATGTACTTTGTGGACGAACATCGCAATGTCATTGGCATCATTAAGAAGAAAACTGTTTGGTGGGTTCGCGTGAGAGGATAGTGATAATATGCTGCGGTGATTAGTGTTGCTAACGGTTTGGCTAGGTTTGAGGAACAAGCTGGACCGATCAAACTCCAAGTCGGGCCGAGCCGAGCCGGATCGGCTTGAAAGTCCAAACGAGTCTCTGCCTTCGAATCTAGTAGCTGCAACATTGCCAGCACAGCACCTAACCAATGTGATGTAATGTGATATAATGTGATGTAATGCGGTGTAATGTGATGTAATGCGATTTAATGTTTCTTTTATTGTTTCACCCAGCGGCCTCACTAACAGGCACGCAGCGTGTGGACGACTCGTGAACGAAGCTTCAGACACCCATCACAGATCCTTCCGCATTCGAATCCGGTCTCTACAACGCCTGACCAGGCGCTCTCAACCAGTACACTACCGTCCAATAAATAGAAACGATTCATAGGCAGCTCTGCGTTTGCAGCATTATGAAAGGTAGAAAATTGTTCGTCCAGGTACATCCTGATCAGGGCTTTGAGGGAGAAATTGAGAAACGTGCTGTCACGCCTTGCAAAGCACCACAATCGAAAGTTGAACGGCGGGAGTGTCAAATGTCAACACAACAGCAGCAGTAGCAACAGCAGTGATTGCGACGATCCTTTTGTCAATAAGGAAATTAATTCTGGCATATACATGGTTGGTTGATTAGTTGGTCGGTTGATTTGGTTTGGTTGGTTGATTGGTTGGTTGGTTGGTTGGTTTGGTTTGGTTGGTTGGTTGATTGATTGGTTGATTGATTGGTTAATTGGTTGTTTAGTTGGTTTGGTTGATTGGTTGGTTGATTGATTGGTTTGGTTGGTTGGTTGATTGTTTCTTGTTTGGATATCTGATAGTACTGTAAAAATGGTTTATTTTTCTGTTTATTTAACTAATGTATTAATGGGTAAATGAATAATTTTGTAACTGTTTGGTTGATTTGCGGATTTTGTTCCCGCCATCCAGTGGCACAAAAGATTGGAAGAGTTGAAAAAGTGGTTGGATTTAAGTGGTGCCATAGAGGAACAGTGGAAGGTCGGTTGGTTGGTTGGTTGGTTGGTTAGTTGGCATGTTGATTGGTTGGTTAGTTGGTTGGTAGGTTGGCTAGTTGGTTGGTTGGTTACTAGATGATTGATTGACTGTTAGTCGATGTAGTTGGATGTCTGGTTAGCTGTTTGTTTCAATGTTGGGAGAAATAATTTTTTCATGATCATGTTTGTTGGTGAGATGGGTTGGTCACTGGATGTGGAAATTTTAGTTAGCAGTTGCATGATTGGTTGCATTTATTTGGTGGTTAATTAATTGAATGGTTGGTTGATTGGTGAATAACGTGTTGGTTGAATGATTTGTAGGTCAGATAATAAGGTGATTGTATCAGTTAGATGATTAGTTGGTCAGATAATAAAGGGATTGTATCAGTTTGCTGATTGGTTGGAAGGTTGGTTTGTAATAATAGTTTCATGCAATCGTTCAATATCGTGTCTTATGAAGGACTTGGGAGAAAAATTCTTCAAATGGGTTATAACATTGGTTGTCAGGGAAGCCACCAGTAACGATGACGTCATGAAGCTCTACCCCGTTCATTGGTTGGGACCGTAATTCGTTTTTTAAAATATTTTTTACTGTTGCATTACTATACAAGAAAAAGTTTATATATAAATTTTTTTTTCATTTTGTTTCATTGAAGTTAAATGACTTAGCAAACTCCCACCTTGCAGGGTATCTTTCTTGAGAGAGCACGCACTGACAGACGAAATTGATTTCAATGCCACATCTTGATCATCAATTTGTCATCAGACTTTTCATTTTTAAGTTTGTTTCAATCTCGTTCCTACGAATTGATGAACACTTCTATTATGTTTTTATAACCGAGTGAGTGCGTCATTTTGCATGTGAATAAGTTTTTACTATGCAAATCCAGTGACTTATAAATGTTTAACGCCATCGGGTATCATCTTTCATGTGTACAGATTATAAATACACTTCTGCTGGTCACAAGCGTAATGTTTAGTCGACAAACTCGTACGCACAAATAACTACATAATAACTAACTACAAATAATTTTATTTTTGGTAGGTATACAATGTTTAAAACCATGAACGCGTCTTACTTATAAAATTGAAGTTGCCACGGAGACGACCTTGTAAACAAAAGAGCAAATGATTGCAATGTTGATTGCACTAATCTTCGGACTAACATTTAACGAGTCGTACATGTTCTTACTAAATTATTTAACTCGTACGAAACGCTAAAATACAAAAAAGTTGCACAAGCCAAATACCACACTGCTGATTAAATTCTCGAAATGAGTGAATACGAGAAAACAAACACCGACCTGTTGAGGACCAGTTCGGGAGTGGGTCACAAGTGGCGGCCCCCGCAGAACTTTCCCAACATGGAACTCATGGTGCGATGACTTTATTTCAATTCATGTGAATTTGATTATATTTCATGAAATGTACCCGAATTACAATGCATCATAAGACATAAACTCCAGTTAATTATATGTTGTTATTTATATTTAAATGTAAGCCTTTAGTATTAGTTTAGCCGTAAGTAAATTAGTAAATAAACGGCATAAATTACTTCTTTTGAATAATTTTTTTTTAATTAAAAATTTTTAACTGAAATATCGAACAAATATTTGAAACTATTTTTCTGAAAATGTAATCTCATTGTTTGTAAGACGAACATGACGAAACCACTGCCAGAAAAGCTGACCAAACTGCCTGAACTACAAACTTCTGACCATTACTTGACCACCACCGGCTCCACACACGACCACAAAATCATTCAGGATAATTACGGAAATTTCGGACCGTTTTTCAAGAAACCAGCAGCTCATTACAAAGTTCACTACCTGCAAGATTTGCACGAAAAGGTTGGTTTGATCCATTTTCTATTCAACGCTTGAAATATTGACGGTACCATGACGTGTTTCGTGAAGCAGCTGAACTGGAAAAAGATCTTATTGTTTATTAAGGGCAGTGGTTTACAAGGCTTATTTTAAAAAAATGTACAAATTAAATATTTAATAATTTTCTAACTAAAAATAAAAGAACCATGTATTCTGTAGATAATTGTAGATTCTGATAATTTTTCTTAAAGAATTAGCCTATTACGACAAAATTTTATTTCAAGCAAAAAATGATGTTTAGTAGAAACAATAAAGATAAAAAAAATTAGAAAACGAAAGAGAAACAAAATAATAAATAGAATTTTTCGTGAATCAAAACATGGCACACAATAGCACCATCGAGGAAATGAAGTGCCGTTAAACTGAAAAACAACAACGTTAAACGTTACAAAATTTGACACCAATTAAAAAAAAACAGTAGTTCACTTTTGATAAAAATTGAAATAATATAAATTTAATTGGCTAACATTCAACAGTCAACCACTACATCCTTTCATCTACAACTACATCCTTTCAAACCACAGTTGATGTCTGAAAATTTGAGACGTCCACTGACCATGGGCAACCAAACTTCGGAAATGAAGGATAAGTTTTCAGGGCAAGATCCTTTGAAGGAGCCTAAAACGTTTGAGGATTTCAAAGGATTCACACTGAGGGACCATCTCAAGGTTTGAGATCATTCACGCCGATTCATTTCTGTCATCTTATAGTTAATATGTACACATTTGGTCTCTTTATAATGCTAAATAGCTAAATAGCGGTCTTTTGCATACAAATTTAACCGAACTTGAGCATCTCTTTTTTGAAATCATTCTACCATAAACGCCCAGTCCGTACCAACTCAACCGACGTACATGGGCATCGCGGCAGACGTCATGCTGCCCGGGGGACGGACGAAATCCTGCCACAACAGATCCGTGTACCTCCTCAACGATCCCTACTTGACCACCACGCAGAAAATGCACAGACCCTTCAAGGAGGAGGAGTTGTGTCTCGAACCTAGGAGGAAACTCAACGTTCTTGAGTGGGTTTATTATTGTTATTATTTATTTATTTATTATCGTTGTTCTTTTTTATTATCGTTATCGTTATGTTGATAATGCGCTCCGACAATTTTCATTAGCTCTGTTCACCCAAAATGTTCAGTTGATTTGAGGCCAGTTGATGATGTTTTGTTAATGTAATTGTAGATAGATCCATTTTTATATAATGGTTCTTGGATAAGATTCAAGAATAACAAAAAAGAAATAAATAAGAAAAGATGCAATCTAAATCAGTGAATTGTGGTTAGTAGCTAATTGCCTTTCCAGTTTTGTAGTATTGCAAGTTAAAGCAGCTCAAAAGCGTAAACATGCAATCACGCTTGGATGCTCTCAACGAAAGATGTAAGTGACAATGCTTTCTTACAAATGTAGCATGGGATGGCGCTAATATATGATTGACACGAAGCACACCCGGTATACATTTCTCTAAGGAAACATAATTCATACAACTATCTACACTACAACAACAAAGACCTTCACACCAACAACCACCACCAACACACAGCCAGGGACCTCGTGTCGTTGTACCCCAGCAGACCCCCATGACAGACAAGTTGTTCTCGAGGCAGGAGACGAAGATCAATCAGATACCTCCGTTGGTCGCCCATGTGCCTCACTCGTTAGTCTCAAATATGCTGCTGGCTGTTCATCTAGCTATGTGACTTGTTCGTTTGTGGCCGATTGTCGAGTCGTTGTCACACCTGTTTAGTTGCAATCCTTTGGATTCATTTCTTATTCATTGGCTTGATCGTTATCATGAGATAATTCTCATTATCGTTATCAACTTTATTAGTACCACTAACGAGATCGTCATCACCACCACCGTCGTCATCATCGTCATCATCATCATCATCACAAACACCGACCACGTGACTAACAGGGGCTTCAGAACAGAGTACCGTGAACATTTCCAGCAGCCTGTGGATTTGAACCCGCAGGAAACTTCCACCTGCCCTCCAGACATCATGAACGTCAGGGAGGGCAACAGCAGGCAGGTACAGACCATCCCACTCTTTTACGATACCGAGTACAAGAGGATTGGTAGCAAGTGTAGAGTTACTGTCTAAATACTCGTCATTGTGTGCGTCTGTGTGTCTCTGTGTGTGTTTGTTTAAGCGTCTGTGTGTGTTTGTGTGTGTGTTTAAGCGTCAGTGTGTTTGAGCGCACTTTGGTGTGTACGTCATTGTTGTATATGTAGGTGAGTACGAGTTTAGGATTTTGTATTTGGGAGAATTCAGTGTGTATGAAATTGTGCATTTGTGCATGTTGGTGTGCAGTGTTTTTGTATGCATCTATATGTAATGTGTAATGTGTATGTGTGTACGTGCTATGCAATGAATTTAACATAGGAATGAAGACGAAGTGGCTCTGGACAGCGCTGATAGTGATTTATTTGTATTGCCGTCTTCTTGATCTATGTTGGCTCTCACGATAGGAGTAATGGTGATGATGGTGATGATGATGGTGGTGATATGAAAATGATGCTATTGCGATGATGATATCAGTGGGATGAGATGATGATGATGTTGTTGTTGATAATAACATTGCTGATGATAACGATGATCACAATGATAACAATGGCGGCAATATGATGATGAAACATAATATCATTATTATTTTTCATAACAATTACGATGCTTTTGGTGTGATGATGAGGAAACTTGTGGTATTAATTGTAATAAGGATATACTGGTGATGTTTCATTTGTGTTCGGGACAGGATGGTTAAAAACATGTTACCCGCATGTACTGTACATATGCATATGTTATAAGTTTGTCTTACATAGGATCCAATTGCATATGTTTATGTGCCTCCTTTATTTTTTTTAATTTTTTGCTTACATTTTTATGGGTTCAATTTTAAGTTAGATGTCGAATGGCTTGGCTTTCAATCAATCAGTTGTTTGGAGCAAAATGGATTAATTTATTTAGGATCGGCATTCGTTATATTTTCGCCCAAGGCAAAATCGATGACAATTTTTTTCAATTTAAAGAATGAAGGTATCTGAAAAGATTATTTGGGTTGTAGCTATTCATAATTTTATGCCATTTCAACTTTTTAATTTGAAATAAATATGAAAATATATGCATGGAAATCATTGAGGGGTAGATGAAATGAAGAATGATTAAAAGATCCGAAATAATAAATGAAAAAATTTTGTTTTCAAGTTAACAATTCTATTTGGTGTTCTGCCTGCACCGTGAGAAAATTTTATAAAAATCGAGTCGGTACTTTAGAGTTGAGTTAATAATAAATTCTTAATTTAAACTGGTTGGATGAAGTTTCAATGTATGGCTAGTTATTTATTATGAGTGTAATTATTGTATTATTATTTTTTTTTGCCATGCATTGTGCTGTGCTTCTTGTGATACATATGCTAGTATTATTTTCCTCTTATTTTTCCACATGGTGTAGTGTTTATCAGTTTGTTGGCTCGTGTTTGGTCGGCTGGTGGATCGAGTCACCAATCCTCTGTAGTTCTTTTTGTACGTTCGTTTGTACTGAAAAAAATTTGTTGCTAATTCATATTTTTTAACCGGTGGTTTCATGTTTTTGAAAATTTAAATGAATTAAACGCTGAATATGTCATATGGGAATCAAATGGAAAGACTCGGACATTTAGTTTTTCAGGGATAAAGTAGAAACCAGAAAAAAATTATTTTACTAAGTCATCGTCGATGTGTTTTGTATGTAAATGTAAAACAGTATGTGCAAATGTATTAGCTAAATTTAACAAGTTGAATGAAACAATAACTTGAACAGAATCTTGAAAACAAGCAAGAATAAAGACAAGAATACGTACCAGCAATCATACGTACATACATGCATACATACATACATGCATACATACATACATACATACATACATACATACATACATACATACATACATACATACATACATACATACATACATACATACATACATACATACATACATGCATACATACATGCATACATACATACATACATACATACATACATGTATATATACATACATACGTACATACATACTAGTAGATATCTGACTGTGCGAGACCAGGGACATAGATAAAAGTTGAACTCGGAACTTGAACTCGGAAACGATTGCATGCCTAACCATGGCTTGTTCATCAAAACGGGTTCATACATACATGTATACATACATATATACATACATACATACATACATACATACATACATACATACATACATACATACATACATACATACATACACACACACACCACATGCATACATATGTTTGTATTTGTGTACGTGCGTGTGCCTGTGCATGTTTGTAATTGTGTGAAATTAGAATGAATGTATTTGCGACCATCACCATCACTACCATCACCATCCTCCTCATCATCATCACCACCACCAACATCATCACCATCATCATCATCATATCTTCAGGGGTATAATTTCTTTTATGATTAGCTGCTTCGAATGTACTTTCAACTTTCTCCTAACTTCATTTCATCAGCTCGCTTTTATGTTACGTTCAAATGGGTTAGCTTCTCCTCAAACACTTTTTCCTTATCCATATCTTCTTCGCATCTTTTTCATATCCTCTTTTCCTTCTTAAACTTCTTTAATCTACTTTTTTTAATTGTTCATTTTTATTTTTTTATCTTTCTCCTTCTTTCTCTCTCTCCTATCTCTTCCTCTCTCTCTTCCTCTCTCTCTCTCTCTCTCTCTCTCTCCTCTCTTGGTTTTCTCTTTCTTTGTTTTATTCGTCACATCACTTTTGTTTTACTATCTCTATTCCTCTCTCTTTATTTCCATCATTATTCTTCCCTTCCACTTAATCATGGCAGTCATGTGTGCGAGTACGAAGGCAGTCTTGAGTTTCATTTTTCCTTTTAAATTAGATCTCCATTTTCAAACTGGTTAATCTTTTTTTGTTTGCGCGTGTTTCTGCTTCACTGTTCATCTACTGTTTGCATCTCTTAGTTTTTGTTGCATAATCTTCCTATTAGTTGGTTGCAGCGTATTTATTTACACTAAAATAAAAAAAGACATAATTTTTTGGCCGACACAACTCCACTGAAACGATTTTTTGAAAAACTATCAACCACATTAAGATATTTGAAATGAATTTACTTAGGTAGGTAGGTAGGTAGGAAGGAGAAATCACCTCGCATCATTTGCTAGAGTAATCCGCATTCTTCATATAGACAGAGCCAGTCTATAATTGAATAAGTTGGTCTCATATGATGGTTGGTATTAATTATAAGCATTTGTTAAATATCTTTTTGAACATTTTAGAAATAAAGGAATAACAATTGGAAAACAGCATGACTCATTTTTTTTAAGATAATCAGTTTGCAGTACATAAGACATTTCTTGGTAATTTTTCAACCAGATGATTTGATTCAATTAACTGCTGAATATTTCGCCTGCTTTCTTACTGTTAATCAATCATTTACTTAAACTTTTAACTATCACTTCGCGTTTTTTGTCGCAAACACATTAATTCTAATTTGTTGAAATAGTGTTGAAATACATACATACATGTATGTATGTATGTATGTATGTATGTATGTATGTATGTGTGTGTGTATGTATGTATGTATGTATGTGTGTGTATGTATGTGTGTGTGTATGTATGTGTGTGTATGTATGTGTGTGTGTATGTATGTGTGTGTGTATGTATGTGTGTGTGTATGTATGTTTGTATGTGTGTGTAT